ATAAACAAGTTATTCATTAGTAAATTATAAAACACCTAAATCAAACATTCCGTATCAACCAACTATCTCTATTCGATCATCGCCATAATCATCATCATCATCATCGATATTATTATTATTATTCCCATTTTTATTATATTTTGATTCCTTCGATATATTTCAAGGAGCAAACAGCAGATCCATCAGCAGCCGAAATTGTCAGTTTATGTGGTTATTTGAAATAATTATCTTAACGCATAATAGTAATAATAATAATATAATATGATGATGATAATAATAATAATATAATATAATAATAATAATATGATATGATGATAATAATAATATAATATGATAATAATAATAATATAATATGATGATAATAATAATAATATATTATAATAATAATATAATATGATAATAATAATAGGTCGTTGGTCCGCCGGGCAAGCCGGGAAAACCCGGAAAAGCTGGAAACCCCGTTGGTGATGATGATGATGCTGGTGATGATAATGATGATGTTGTTGTTGTTGATGATGATGCGATTGGTTTTAAATAATATCAGAATAATGCAAACAGATAAATATGATAATGATGCAGGGATGGGCCGCATACGGCCCGCAGACCGCATGCGACCCGCGAAGCTATTTTATGCGACCCGCGAGGCCTTGTTCGCTAAAAAAAGATCGATCGTCAGCCAAACATTATGACCAAAAAAAAGACCACAAACCTTATATAAATTCTCCATCGGGCCGAAAAAATTTGCTATTTAAGTAGATATGCGGTCCTTCAAAGGTAAAATAGATCTCAATGCGGCCCTCATTAAACTCCACGTAGCCTATCTGGTCACATCCACAATGTACCAATTCGAACAACGATGATGGTATAGGAGAACCAACAAATGCTTTTTTGTTCTATCATGCTTAGAATAAATGAAAAAATTAAACAGGAAGCTAACTAACGCGAAACATGCTGTGATTTTCATCAATATATATATATATATACATATATATATATATATATATTTGTTGTTAATTATGTATAATTATGAATAATTACGAATAATATTTTAAAAAGGGAGAAAAGGGTTCTCCTGGTCAGCCCGGATTAAAAGTAAATGATGATAATGATGATGATGGTGATGATGATGGTGATGATGGTGATGATGGTGATGATGGTGATGATGGTGATGATATATTGTTATTATTATTACTATTTTATATTTTATATGTTTAAGATATACATAAAATGATGACGACGGCGACGATGGTGATTAAAATGATGAAGATGACGATGATGGTGAAAATTCATTTTAATCATTTTTCCACTCAAACATTAATAGGGAGATAGAGGAGATGTAGGAGCTGTTGGCCCGCAAGTAAATGTTTGAGGATGGTGGTGATGGGGAAATTAACGATAATGATGATGATAACGATAATGATGATGATAACGATAATGATGATGATAATGATAATGATGATGATAACTATAATGATGATGATAATGATAATGATGATGATAACTATAATGGTGATGATAACTATAATGATGATGATAACTATAATGATGATGATAATGATAATGATGATGATAACTATAATGATGATGATAACTATAATGGTGATGATAACTATAATGATGATGATAACTATAATGATGATGATAATGATAATAAAAATAATAACGATGATGATGATGATGACGATAATGAGAATAATAACGATGATGACGACGATGACTAGGTGTTGAGAAAAAACACCAATGTATAAATTTAAGATATGAGTTACTTGCATCTCTCTGTTGTTGTGTAGATTTTTTGTTTTCTATCTGATGTTTTTAAGTAAGATTCGTTTACATATTCATATCACACGCGAACACGTGCCTAAATTAATTAACACTTGCTTGCTTGCTTACCTAATTAATTAATTTTGTTTGAAGGGCTTCAAAGGTGACAAAGGAGAAACTGGCACCATGGGACTGCCTGTAGAAAATTAATTTTTTATTATCCCCATCTTCATCGTGGCAAATATCATCATCATTATCATCATTTTCACCATCATATTTATCATCACCGTTACCAGCAAGTTAGTAGAGATGGGAGTAGAAGTGTTAAGTTGAGCATCGTAATTGCACGCTGACCTGTTTCAAATGCAAGCAAACTCCGTGGTACTCATGAGTTTTTCGCGTGTGACGTGTGCGTACGGACTCGCAGAGGTTTGTATGTTGCGTGCAAATGTGCGTACATCGTAGTGTGGCGTGTGACGTACAGAATTTGCGTCACATGAGCTTTGTTGCAGCTAACAAGTAATGAACAACCTGCCAGCATCTTTGCATTTGAGTTGCGAAATAGAGAACAAAACAAATAACACCGTTATTAGGATCAGTCTGTTGCAGTTATACGATCAGTGCTTACATTTTTTTTATAAATTTTTTTTTGAAAAAATGTATAGTTAGTATTATTTTATATAAATGAGTGTAGTTTTTACAAAGCTCAGTATCAATTTGTTTCCACACCAAAATCCTGCTCGATCATTTAACTACCTTATTACGACCGACAATAAATACAAATTAACGAAAATAAATCTAAAAATATGAAAAGTTTGCGAAAAATATAAAATGGTATTAAAACACAAATTAAATAAATAATAACCAGTCATATCACTCCAGGCTTCGCCACTTTTATCATTGTTGGCTATTGCTACCAACCGTCATCCTAATTTTTCGATCAAGACGACTACATCATCAACTACGTCATCTTCATTAATATCATCATCCCTGCCATCTTTATTCATGTCATTATCATCGTCATTATCACTCTCATCTTCATCACCACCATCATCGTCATCATTACTCCCATCATCGTCATCATCACCATTATAACACCATCATTATCATCGTCACCATCACCAGGGAGCTAATGGCAAACCAGGAGACACGACAGTCATAACTAGACCGGTAAACCATTTATATTACACACGCACACACACACACACACACACACACACACCAACAACAACAAACACACACAATAGACACATACACAAACATGTCTACCTACATAAAAAATATACCTCTACTGCAACTCTACCACTGTTAAAATTACAACTACTATTTTTACTACTACTACTACTACTACTACTACTACTACTACTACTACTACTACTACTGCTACTACTACCAATAATAATAATAATAATTCATCCCAGGGCCCGCCAGGACCAAAAGGCGACAAGGGAGATAAGGGCGATTATGGTCCAATGGTAATAATAATTATTATTATTATGATTTTAACAACGTTAATAATAATCGTTAATATTATTTTATTTAAGGGTCCGGAAGGTCCAGAGGTTAGCATTACATTAATCTATATAAATAAATGTATATACATATATATATATATATATGATATATATATATGATATATATATATATATATATATATATATGTGTGTGTGTGTGTGTGTGTGTGTGTGTGTGTGTGTGTGTGTGTGTGTGTGTGTGTGTGTGTGTGTGTTGGAAGGAGATCATATTTTATATATTTTATATTCATAATTTTATTTTCATCGTTTCACACCTTGCATGTTGTTGTTACTTTCTCTGCGTATGACAGTGTTTGATTTAGAGAAAAAAAATCTCAACATATCTTGTATAAAATGCAGGGTCCCATGGGCCCCGTGGGAAACATAGGGCCAACCGTTAGTTTCATTTTATTTCTGCTTTCTTAATTTTCATCGAATGTTGAAAAAAAGTTTCACAGCACCGAAGAACAAAAAATAAATATATCTTTACAAATAAGTAACTGAAATTTGATTTCTTAAATTTTTTAACTTTTTTAATAAAATCAGTTAACAAGGATTTTAACTGAATTTGAGCTAGGGTAAGAGAGGCAGAAGAGGCAAAACAGGCTTCAAAGGTGAAAAAGGCGAACATGTAAGCAAATATTTTTAATTATATTTTTTATAAATTACCTATTTATCTCTCAGTTCATTTGTTTATTTCTGACACAAAATACTATCTCACGAACGGTATAATGTAACTCATGTAACTCAACCCAGGCCCCAGCTTACCTATCAGTTAACTTAATAACTTAGGTGAGATTTCAGTCTCCCAAAACATCATTAGCCATATTCTTCGATTCCGAACTCTCTACCTCCTTCTTTAACTACTTCTGTCCATCAAAATTAATTGAGGAACGCACTCGAACATCGCAGGAATGGCGCTTAAAAGCAAATTGATTGATTGAAACTAATTGCTGACCCACTTTAGAAATATAACTTTTTACACCTTCAACTTAATAACGTCCAACATTGAATCAGCCGGTTATTTATTACCATTATTTTAAGGACAGTGCCACTAAAAAATCATTTTCACTCAATGAAACATCATCATCTCATATGCAACTCTACTATTTAAAAATAATTTTTTGTAAACGCAGGGCAGTCCCGGCTTGGACGCACTGTGCCCGCTCGGTGAGGATGGCTACCCGCTGCCTGGTTGTGACTGGCGGGCCGTTGTGAGTTCACTTCATTAACTTTCTTACCTACTATAGATACTGTTGTCGGATTTAACCGATTCTTACATTAATTTAGCTGACATATATGCAACGTATTTATTTATTTATTGGTTCCTACCTACCACATTGGCTTTCGATCTTTGGTATGGTGAGGTGGTATACGCCTGTCTTGCGTTGCAATGGCTGAGAAAAAGTGCAAAACAAATATAATAATCATTCATGTTCAATGTGCATATATAATGTGTCATTTTAGTCTATAATGGTTATGCCATTGTTAACTTTGCCCATCTTTTCCAACTTTGTTGCATATTTACATACGTACCTTTTTTAGAGTGACTATCATGAACATATGGAGGAACGTGAAGATGGCGAAGACAGTGCAGCGGACAGAAGATTTGATGATGGCTTTTAAAAAATAAAACTTAACCAAACATGAACGTAGTTTGCCCTTGTAGAAGAGCGAATCTGATATCTTATCCAATAATTTTGATTTAGTTGATCAATTTAATTTACATCTTTAGAATTTTTAATAAAAAAAAGTATAAAATGATTTATATTTATAATTTTTGTTATGAAAATCTAAAAAATACAAACTTAATTTTACATATGTAAGATTAATCATCTCAAACAACATGATGACATGAAACATTTTGCATGAAAGAGAACGAATCTTAGATTTATATACTTTTTTAAGAGGCTCTTATCTGAAAAAGGCAGAACTGTTTGTTAAAAGTTGCTTAATTTCGATTTAACATCCACACGTACACACCACATGACGTACTTGTACATTCAAATTAAATTTATGTCAGGGGTGGACAAACTTTTTGCTGTTAGGGCCGCATTGATAGATTTATTTTGCCTTTGAAGTACCGCACATATAATTAGAATAAATATAACGGCCTTCGCTCATTTTTGACGGTCGAACAAGGAGCTTACTTCCGGAGGGAAATTGGAGGGTGATTTTTTATCGCCCAAGTCAAAAGTTACGATCATATAATTAGAATAAATATAACGGCCTTCGCTCATTTTTGACGGTCGAGCAAGGAGCTTACTGGAGGAATTAGAGGGTGATTTTTTATCGCCCAAGTCTAAAATTACGATCGTTTATTTACTAATTTCGGAATATTGCTTTTATTTAAAATGTTTTGAAAGGTGTTTAGATGCTGTTTTAGGATAGATATTGCTGTATGACGGTTTTTGCATTTTAAATTAAAAAAATTTTTTGTGAACCACTCTTCTAACACTTGACTCGTTAACGATTAACTGTAGCGACTAATTAGTAATTAATTAGTAATTAAATTACTAAACTCTAATAATTAAGCTAAAACTAAACTCTATTGATTCTAATTACTAATTGAAATAAATAACAGATAACACTAACGAACTTTAACAGACTACTAGAAACTACCAACCACTACAGTTAACGACTAACAGCACTTGTTCCTAAGATCCTAAATTCTATTGCTTGATTGGTTTTAAAATTTTTATTTACAATGCTTAGGTCTGGGAATAAAAAATATACTAAATTAAATAAATATATTAAACAACTTATCAATTAGTTTTATAAAATAAACAATTTTGTAATTTGTTCAATTCAAGCTTCAAACTCCCCAAGCTAACTTGCAATTTAATTAAAATTTATTAATTATGAGTGATTCAAACTAAATTTTTTTTCATTTAATGTTTTACAAAATATTCCTCATTCTTAAATTGTAGTACATGTTGTTATTAAATTTATTAAAGATAATGTGTGATTCCAGTGATTCATCAATCCATGACTTGTTAGATCATGATCATTCAGTTTTAAAGAATCCCCATCACCATAACCAATGAGGTTTGTAAAAATTGTACTTTTAATTTATTATATTTTATGCACTTAGAATGTTGTGTTATTAATTATTATCATTAATTTATTAAATGCTGTGCATACCTATGGCAAGTAAATAAAATAATTAAGCATAGAAATAGCCACAATCAAATTAATTTATATAGGCATGAGTATAATTTGGATAATAATAATTAAAAATATCAGTATCATTGAAAATGGATAAAGTCATAAATAAAAAAATAAATCATAAATTGCTAAAAATAATAGTTCCAGTAAGATTTTGCCTTACACCTACATCTTTTTTTCATTCTTATATTATAATAAATGTTTGTTATAAAATATATCAAGGATTGATTTCTCAATCCATGACTAGATTAAATGTCATGATCCTACAGTTCCAGAGGATCCCCATCACCATTAGTCAATAAGGTTTGTAGAAATTACCCCAGGCATACCATCAATGTTTTGTAGCCACCTTTTAATGTAGTGTTAATAAAATGACATTGAGAATAGTTATTTAAAACAATCTTATTAAAATTATTGAACAGGTATGACAAGATTACTTTCTTAATGTCCTAGTGTGGGAAGATGTAAGCCATTTGTCCAAAGGTAATCATATGCCTAATGCCCATACAAATGCAGTGTCAACGTGAATGATTTTTGAGCAGGGTCATATGTTCTAATTTTTTTAAACTTTTCCAGAAATTTTTCTGTTAATTTATTTGTTACATTAAATACTTGATGTGTATTTCATATAAAAACTTGATTATGCTAATTTAGTTAACTTGTTAAGCATTAATATAAAATTGACTCTACTTGTAATGGTGATTGGTATGATGATGATGATCCCAGTCCTAAGCAGGGTTTATTATTTGCAATGTCATTATGCCCTTTCTAAGTTTTAATAAAATACATGGAATATTAGTGAATGCATTTTATATTTTTTGTATAGACAAGAATATTGCAATGTACAATGATGATGTGAATTGCTCCCTTGTGTAACTGATGACATATAAATATAACTAACTTGAAAACATGGGAATGCTTTCTTCAACATTACCTTCCTTTCTCCATCATAACCCTTATAATCTTTATTACAGAAATGGTCACTGCATATTCTTGCATTTTTTGATGGAAGCCATTTGAAATCATTTATTTTCTGTCTGATGCACTTAATCCAATCCTTTTGCATTTTTACATTTTGAGGAAATCTGAAATTTTATAAACTGTTACAGAAACTTGTGCATTTCTTAAGTATTGCTTTTAATAATAAAATGGTAATCCATGATAGCATTATAAATTATAATAGTCTATAAAATAAAATATATGTAATTGTAAAACAAAATAGTTCTATTCAATGAGTATAGGGATATTGTTACATTTATTTTAGTGTGAAGTTAATTTGAAAATAAACCTGTGAAAAGATGCATCAGAAATTTTCTCATTTCTAATTATTATTAATGCAATTTTTAAATGCAACAGGTAGGCATGTTTGTGTATAGCTACGAAAATGAAAATTTACTTAAAAACTAAATTATTGTACAGAAACAAAAACGAAAGAATAAATGACAATATAAAAATTTAAACATTGATTGAAAGAGTTTATTCTAATTATATGGTATGGGCAATTCGTTTCGAAATCGTTGGAGATGGTGTCAACAGTAGTTATTTTATTGCATGGTAGTTAATCAGCCGGTATGAAGGTTATATTCAATTCCTATCAAATAAATTTGACAAAATATCATACACAGGCAGAACTAAATAAAGAAATGAATAGATATATAGACATAGTTATAATACATTTATATGTTGTATTTACACATTCAAATTGTACAATTGTGATATGGTGTAGTCTCAAATTATTGTGAATTCTCTCAGAAAATTTTAAACGTTTTACTACACTATATATACTAGTTATTTTTATCAACAAATTAAAAATTTTATCAATAATTAAAAAAAATTTCAAATTGATTTCATTGTGATATCGATAATGATTTTTGTAACCTGACTGATTAAAAAGAATCAAAGAAAGTTAAAATATGATGGAGAATTTGTTATATTGGGATATTCGTTTAAAAAGCGAGCAAAATTTTAATACAAAAGCGCTTATAAATCTATGCATATTGGCTCAGCTTGGCTTGGCTCGGCTTGGAATCGGATGTTAAGCAAGGTGTGGTCTCAAACTATTTTGAATTCTCCCAGAAAAATTTGAACTGCGTGCGTACATATATAGTAATGGCTACTGTTGTTTTATATAATGAATTTATAAAATATATAAATATAGCGAGCAAAATATTAACATAAAAGCGCTTATAAATCTATGCATATTGGCTCAGCTTGGCTTGGCTCGGCTTGGAATCGGATGTTAAGCAAGGTGTGGTCTCAAACTATTTTGAATTCTCCCAGAAAAATTTGAACTGCGTGCGTACATATATAGTAATGGCTACTGTTGTTTTTTATAATGAATTTATAAAATATATAAATATAGCGAGCAAAATATTAACATAAAAGCGCTTATAAATCTATGCATATTGGCTCAGCTTAGCTTGACTTGGCTTGGAATCGGATGTTAAGCAAGGTGTGGTTTCAAACAATTTTGAATTCTCCCCGAAAAATTTGAACTGCGTGCTTACATATATAGCACTGATTACTGTTGCTTTTATAATGAATTTTTATTATATATATATAAAGTGACTGGAATCCATGTATACAAATAATTAAATAATATTAGATTATATGTTTATATGAAAAGCATTATAGCAGATTCAACCAGCCAACCAGAAAGTTTCGGAGGCGTTCGTTCGATGACTTCAATTTAGTACGGTTAGCATTGTGGTTAAGACTGTATAATAGTGCAGTATATACATTAAACTAGTTTTTTACTGATGCGAATGATTGAAATGATGAGAATGTATGGTTGAAACGAGTATAAATAGAGGAGCTGAGACAACATGAAAATCAGATCAGCATTCTGCATCGCTTGAAGCAGTCTGTCTGATCTCATTTTTTTATTTTTAAAATTTTTTATTTTTATTTTATTATATAGAGTTATATAGAGTTATATAGAGTTATATAGAGTTATATAGAGTTATATAGAGTTATATAGAGTTATATAGAGTTATATAGAGTTATATAGAGTTATATAGAGTTATATAGAGTTATATAGAGTTATATAGAGTTATATAGAGTTATATAGAGTTATATAGAGTTATATAGAGTTATATAGAGTTATATAGAGTTATATAGAGTTATATAGAGTTATATAGAGTTATATAGAGTTATATAGAGTTATATAGAGTTATATAGAGTTATATAGAGTTATATAGAGTTATATAGAGTTATATAGAGTTATATAGAGTTATATAGAGCATAAATCCTATATAGATACCTTTCTTTGCTCTTCTTTTTTCTTTTCTTTGCCGACCGGTCGGTTTCTTTGCGGTTATTTTCATTTAAATTAAATAAGATTTTTCCATTCATTTAGGTTTTCAGGTTCATTTATCCAGATTGAAGCTTCCAGAGGAGTTCATCGTGGACGATCAGAATGGTTGTGATGTCACGCTACGTTCGTTCATTTGGTGGCAAAGAATGCACGCCCTGCTGGGGTACGTTTTACGGTTTCTTTGCGGTACTTTTTTTGCCAGTTGGCTGGCTTTCCCGGCGGGTTTTACCGCGGCTCGTTTTTCTATTTTCGTTTAAATTAGTCAAATAAATAAGATTTTTCCATTTCATTCAGGTCGAAGCTTCCAAAGAAATTCATCGTGGAAGATGTCAGGCTACGTTCGTTCATTCAGTGGCAAAGAAGACACGCCTGGCTGGGATACGTTTTATTCTTTTTTCTCTGTTTTTCTCTGTAATTTAAAGTTAAGTAGGAATGCTCACACGCACATACACACAATTACATTAAGTAGCTATATAGGTAGGTTAGATAGGCATAATTTTAATTGTAGGTAGGTTAGATAGGAAGCATCCAACACTAATGTAGTTGAATAGGTAGGCAGCGTAAGTTTATCGCTTCTATTTTTTTCTTGCACCCACATTACACGCATCAGCGTATTACACACACAAATACATACATAAACACATATTAGTATTTGAGCGTTATTTTATTTCCATTACACATTTTAATTTATTATTACTAAGGTTGAGAGTAATTTAATTTCATAGGTAGTTAAAAGCAATAATTTAATTCTAGGAACAATCTTGTAATTTAAATTAAATAAACGCTGTAAGTGTATCGATAGGTAAGTTAGTTATTAAGTTTCACATTATTATTATTAGGTTGGAGCCCAAGGCATTACGTAGGTGGTGGGGTGGGTGCCGAAAGGCCAATGAATTGGGCTCTTGAGTTTTGTAATTTTAGGTAAGCTAGGGCCATAATGTAATGAATAGGTAAGTTAAGGCTACGTTGTAACACACACTCATTAATAGATTTAGGGTTTAAGTTTTATATTATTATTACTAAGTTGGAGCCCAAGGCATTACGTAGGTGGTGGGGTGGGTGCCGAAAGGCCAATGAATTGGGCTCTTGAGTTTTGTAATTTTAGGTAAGCTAGGGCTTAATTGTAATGAATAGGTAGGTTGAGGGTACGATAGCCGATAGACTCTGAATTTTGAAGTCTGTTGTCAGAGGTAAGCCTTGGTGGCCAGTGGTGTACCGGCAATGGTTTACTATCCGGACGGCAATGGTTTACTATCTGCACGGTAATGATTTAACATGCGGCACGACCATAGTCTACTACCCGCACGGCTTCCGGACGGCAAATGGTTTACTATCCGCACGGCAATAGTCTACTAACCGCACGGCAATGGTTTTCTATCCAGTGCCCTGGCTGTCGGTAAACCTCTGTGCAAGGATGGAGAATGAAGGGGGACTTTCGACTATCGTACCATTAACAATTTAATATAGATTAGTTAAGGTAATTGAATAGGTAGATAGGATTATTTTTATTAAGCAATTTGAGATACAGGCACCGCTAAGCTTTCTGATGAGAATCTACTCTTTCTCTATCTTTCTCCATCAACACGGGCTGTGTTTCAACAACAATCTCGAGGAGGACTGGCACCAGTTTTGGAGGACAACGTAGGAACCGGACCGCATTAAACATTCTGCCTTTGTCGAATGGACGACAGTAAGTTTTTTTTTACATTTTACTTTATTATTTTAAAATTTTATTTATTTGACATTATTTTCATTTTATAATTTAATTTTTTTTGCTTCTAAGATTCTAACATTCATTTACTACTACGCAAATATAAAAAAATTTGTTTACAGAATGATGAAAGGTGGGCAGTGGCGGGAGTCAGCACGTTTTAGATGGTGGTCTCATGATGATTTACATATGATGATGGTGGTGTAGGAAGAATCAGCTAGTTGGCTGTTCGACTGACACTCTGAAGTTCGGATGGTATTTTGTGTGCCGACCAGATGGTGGTGGTCGGTGCAATGGAAAGTACAGTAACGACGATTTTTGAAGTAAGGTTTAGTTACGTTTTTTATTTTTCTCATTCGTTCATTTTATCACTCAACCTTTTAAATTATTCTTCTATTAATTGATTCGTTAATTCATTCTATTCATTAATTGAATCATTGATTTATTAATTAATTCATTCATTCACTCATTCATTCAACCAGTTATTCAATCATTTAGTTAATCATTTATTCGATCGTTCCTTTGTTCCTTGATTTACTAATACGCTATTAGAAAAATGTCTACAGAATGATGAGAGGTGGGCTGTGGTGGGCATAAGCACGTTTCAGATGGAGGTCTCTTGATGATCGTTCCGATGACAATTCGAAGATAACAACAACGACGGTTTTTGAAGTATGATTTAGTTTCTTTTTTTTTATTTTTCTCATTCATTCATTTTATCACTATCTTTCAAATTATTCCTCAATTAATTTATTCATTGATTCATTCTATTCATTCATTAAATCATTGGTTGATTAATTAATTAGTTAATTTATTCATTCAACCAATCGTTCAATCATTCAGTTAATCATTTATTCTTTCGTTCCTTTGTTTCTTGATTTACTACTTCGCTAATTAATAAAAACTTGTCTACAGAATGATGAGAGGTGGGCTGTGGTGGGCGTCAGCACGTTTCAGATGGTGGTGGTCTCATGATGATCGTTCCGATGACAAATCGAAGATAATGTTAAAGGTAAATTTGTTTTTGTCTCATTGTACCTTTGAAAGTACTCGAATTTGAACAAAGATTGAGTGTTATCCCAAAAAGATAAGTTGCCTATTTTTTCCAATTGCTTGTTTTTTATTTTAGTGAATTAATTTTTTTTCAATTTATTTTTCAGTATCCGGTCAAATTCATTCCATAGATGCGTATCAGATGATGGTCGGTGCAATGGAGGTTCGTCGGTAGTGAGTGAAGTTTCTGGAGAGTGCGCGCCCGCACATTTACATACACACACAACACACATCAATACAACACATACATACACAACATCCATTCATTTGGTGTCGTTGTTGCTATGTTTCTCTTCAACTTTATATTTTCTTTACCGTGAACCGGGCTTTAATTTAATTCATAGGTAAGTTAGGACTGAGATGAGTTAAACAATTGTAGGTAGGCTAGGGCTTAACATTAGTTAAAAAGTTTCAAGTAAAATAAAAACGCTAAAATATGTTAAATAAAATAATTGAAACATCTAAAACGAGAAATACAAATTTGTAGGTAAGTGAGTTGAGTTAATGATTATAAGTAAGCTAGGGCCCTGAGAGTAATTTAATTGTAGGTAGGTGACTTACTACTATTCTTGCAACTTCTTACTAGTTTTGTGTGATGTGTTTGTTTTCGCTTCACAACACCACACCGACAAAACAAACTACATTTCATTCTCGTCGTCGCCTTAAATTGTACCTTTTTGAACAATCTTTTTAATGTCTATTTATTTATTCATTAAATGTTGACTGGTTTCTAGTTTTTTTTAAATTGTTTATATAATTTTTGGATATTTCTTGATTTAATTTGTATATATGCATGTATAAATTATTTCTGTTTAGTATGTTGATTGTTGATTTAGTCATTATGATATGTTGTGAACTGTTCTTACTAAATGTTCATGTTACGTGGTTTATTATCCTTCGAGAACTTCTAAGGAGTGTGTATGATAATAATAATAATGGATAATAATTATTTTTATCGGTCGATATTTTGTTATATTTGTTTATTTAAAATACAAATTTAAAAAAAAATTGACATTTTAAAATTTTAACTAACCGTCACTTTTTATTTTTGAATGAATTCAAATAAAAGCAACTATTGTGTTTTTCTTTCTTTACTAAAATCTCGAAATTGTTTGTAGATCTGTACGGTTAACTGTTCGTTCGAGTTTGAACAGGCCTTGCAAATTTTTTTTATTTTTGTTTTTATTTTTGTTTATTTGGTTCATTCAATTTAGTTGATTGATTGGTTGATTGATTGGTTGATTGATCGGTTGGTTGATTGATTGACTGACAGACTGACTGACTGGCTGGCTGGCTGGCTGACTGACCGACCGACCGACCGACCGACCGATTGTTTGATTGATTTATCTCATAGTATTGTATACATGAGAAAAAATCCGATTAAGCCAACACGGCTTCATTAAGCCACTGTTTTTCACATGACAAAAGCAATTTCTATATTTATACTGACAAAAATAATTGTGATATGAATATATTGATTTATTAAAAGCATTATATGTACTAAAAACTGCTATCGTAAGAGTTCTATGAAACCCTGTAAGCCACTGCTGTAAGCCAACGTATGATTTTAGCAGCCAGTTTCTTATGGGAACCAGCAGAATGTAAAATATTCATTGAATATAATGAAGATAGTTGTTCAAATAACAATTTTGATTTATTTAGGCCGTTTATTTCATAAGCAAACAAATTTTTAACATGATCGAATAGTATAAAAAAAGGGTGACTATAGTTCAATCCTACTAAGCCAACCTTCGGCTTCAGTAAGCCACCAGATTTCACCGGACCAAAAGCAATTTTTATATTCAAATTAACAAAAATAATTTAATAATACATAATTCTATTAATCATTATTAAAATTTAATAGAATTACAACAATGTTTTAAGCATATTAAATCAAGTAAATATTTCATATAGCTTGCTCGTTAAAATCCATGCAATTTCGTAAGCCAACAATCCAAGCACGACAAATAGCCCGACCGATAGATCGAATTGATCGATTAGTTCTATTATTCTAGTTATGTGGTTTGGAGCAAGGGGAGACATTACTGAAAATAATTAAAAGTTGAAAAAATTTAGGTTCTTTGCATATCCCTGCTTCAACCCATAAGGTGTTGTATGCTGGTAAATAGGCCTCCCCTTGGTACCGCATATGTTCTTAAATAGCAAATTTTTTCAACCCGAGTGAGATTTTTTAAAATTTTTGGCTCCATTTTTTTTGTCATAATGTCTAACTGATGACCTTTTATAGCGAACAAGGCCTCGCGGGTCGCACAAAATACGGGTTGTAGTTTGCCAACTCTTGATTTATGAAATAGACGCACATGATTATGCACGTAGTTACGTAAAAGCCTTCTACTTACGAATCATATGATGTGTTTCGCATTTACAATACGACACGATATACTTTATTTGATTCCAAACAAAATTAAAAAGACAGGATGACCAAAAAGACAGTTATCGAGTAACTTATGGAACCGGCCGCAAATCTAAGGTTTCATGTTTATAATACAAATGGTGAATTAATCCTATTTAGGTCATTCATGTGTCCAAAATCTTCGACTGATTCGACGATTTCTCACTTGATAACGAATATTAAATCAATTTAAATAATTAAACTCCATATTATTTAAGTATATTTGTTACCTTTCATTTACATTGTACCTCTCCAAAAACACACTGGCCTGTCGGCCAGTGTGTTTTTGGAGAGGTTTAAATATCAACTTATATAACATGATTGTTGGTTTAGTTTATCAAATATCAATCGCATATTAATTTAGATTTAGTCAATCTAATAAACCGTGAATGCGCGCAATCATTCATCAATTTCATTAATCCATTCATGCATCATTCATCAATCCACCCATCAACTTATTTAACTAATTCATTCATTCATCATCACGACGGATTCCAAGGTACTGTTGAACTTGAAGTTTGCCATTGAAAATGCAGTCATTTATGCTCATACCCCTGTACGAGGAACCGACCAATGAGAGTTGGAGGTTATTTTTAGAAATCAATGACTCCGCCTCTTCTAATAATTTGTGGTGACCAACTTTGTACTGGGGTATGCAGTACTGAATTAAAGAAAATATGAATATTCATTTTCAGACTTTGTTAATATTAATGAATAACGGTGAAATAAGAATTAAAGTTAAATTGAACGATTCTACAATTATTCAACTATATCAAATATAGTTAAATAACATCTTACTGATACTTGACTGACCACATCACAGCATTAAATCTTATACAAACACACAAAACGGACGTCAAACGAAGGATGACCCACCAACCTTTTGGACGTTGACAACCACCATCTCAGGCCTCTGCTTAATGGAGAGTTGTTCACTGACAGCCTTCAACGCCATCTCTTCAAACTTACATTTATCTGCAGTTTCAGGACTTCCGAAGCATTCCTCAAACCAGGCACCACCCATCATCAACTGAATTGTATAAGGAAATAAAATGATATGAGATGGGTATGGGTATATACGACCTCAGCGATAAATATAGCAAGTATCCGCGAAATCGGACTGAAAGTATTGCTGTGCTTTGAACCTGACACTGAGAAAGCAATGACAAGCAACTGAGACAAGAGCCATAAAAAAAACGACACCAACAACTGAAACCTAATTCCAAACAAACTCACTGTTATCCTAGTCTTATTATCCCTTCCATTGTGGTGAGGGAACGTGTGGCATTCGTAGAGGACCCCCAACACGGCTGGGTCTTCAAACGAAGGAATCAAATGTCCGAACCCAACTTGAGGGGTTGTGACGTCACTGGGATACACCAAATTGACCACGCCTACCGAGGCGAACCTGATGTCGTTGAGGAGAGATGATATGTTGGCATATGTTGGCAGGAGGAGGAGAGATATATCTGTCAGTTGGTGAGGGTGCGCATTCAGACGAATCATTGAAATCAGACTGTTTTGAAATACATGTCGAATTCGTTGAATGAGTGAATGAACAATTGACATGATGAATGAATGAATAAATGAATTAAATAAACGATTAAACCATAGTATGAAATTGTCATTCAACAAACCGCGAGCTAATATCACAAACAATGAAAAAGAAAAAAACATTTGAGAACAAACCAAATGATGGAAGTGCACTGAAGACATGATCAACCGTCATTATTTCACCATTCGCACTTGTAACAAGCTGCACGATCATCATATTACGAGTTTTACATAAATTGCTAGGCAACAAAATTAGCAAATTCATCAAATAATAAACGCAAACGAAAACAACAGTAGTAACAAAACATGATTAAAGCTATTTTTAAATTCAAAAAAGCCCACCTTAACTTTTACATCATCAAACTGCAAAGTGTTGACCTTCGACCCTGACATGACCTTCACCTTGTCCTCTTTCTGCAGAGTGGCCAGAAGCTTGCGTGGTAGATCTTCAAGGCCATTCTTCAAAGACCACATGGACCAGTTTTCAGACACAAATTTGTTTATCAGCTCGGAATTTTCTCTCCTTTTAGCTGGTATTTAAAGAATATTTGACTAATATGAAGGATTTATTAAAACGATTTGTCGAATGATTTGTATTCTACTGTAATAACTCATAAACATGAACACATACTCAGCATATTCATACAAATTGCAACAATTACAATCACACACGCGCACGTACACACACACACACACACACAAACATAAATTATACACACAGCATCTAACTTCTTGGTCTCATGAGAGCAGCCTTAACAATAGACCCATACTTGGATTCAAATTCATGGAATAATGGAAAGCATGACCTCATGCTCAACTTCAAACTGTCTCCAGCAAATATTCCTCTGCACATAGAGTTAGCTGCGTACTTTGCTACCTGGAGAATAAAAAATAAACCAGATTTACTTCATCAACAACGTGACAGCAAAGATTGCAACAGCAGTATGTTGTCACCAACTAAATCCAAGACATCAATAGCATTTAACAGCATCAATGAAAACATCAAAAAACACAAACCACAACATTATGATATCATCAACTACATCAACGCATTTATTCATTTAAGAAAAGTTAATGGCTTGGGCAAACTTCTACCAACAAATTAAAATCTCCAATAATCCAAAAATTATTCCAACAAAACAAAAAAAAAACATAAAAAGTTGCGACCTCTGGACCAAACCTTCGGCTGAAGAAACTATCAACCGTCTCATCATCTAATTCACCTTTCTTTCTGAATGGTTCCATCAAACCTTAAGTTACGCAAAATAAGACATAATTAAATAATATTATTATTAGAATTAAAAATATTAATAAACGTGAATAAATTGTATAAATAAATATATACTAGCAAGTTTTTACAACAAAGCCAGAGTTATAACAGATGTTAACAACAAAACAGACAATTTTATGCTAACCATATAAGCACAAAGGCTTGCTGAATGGAGGTTGAGTTGTTAAAACTGCTTTTAAACCTACAGTATAATTATCATTTTGATAAAAAATAAAAAAGTAATCATATTTTAAGGTTGATGAAAGCACAATGTTGAATTAATTGGAGATAATTTGTAGTAAACTGACTGCTTGGCAACTTGCAGAGTTGCTTGTTAACGTAGATAAATCTGTTCTTTGCAGCTACGTGACTTCGAGGAATGGGGAGAACTTCATCATCCAGCTCCAAGTCTTCAACCTAACAAAATATCAACTAATTTATGAAAATTTGAATTAAATATTGAAATAAAATAAATTATTAATGAAACAGTACATTTCATAGTATTTACCATTTCAAGTGTGTTAAACCCCGCTCTACCGACACCTCGTATGCTTCTTGGTCCTTGTTCAAACAACAAATCCTTCTCATACTTCACTGACCTCATCCAGCCACCGAATCGATTAGTGCCTTCAATTAAAATTATCTAAAAACATTTGAGGATACAAACAACAGGCCTGCTAATTTTAAAACAAATTTGATAATTTAATAATTTAAAAATTTTATTCAACTTTTTTCACAAGATTTCCACCAAATTTGTTCAGGTAGTAAGCTGTGGCAAGTCCACTTATCCCACCACCAAGAACTGCACAAGTTGCCATCTTGTCCTCCTTTCCTTGTTACTTCTTATTTTTTTTTTTTTATCACAATACCATTTGTTTCTCTGTAACGTAAAGATGATAAACAAATAAACAAATAACTATTCAACAAAATATAAATAATGACAATGATGATTTATCAATTTATGGAGTGTGAATGACAATCTGTCTTATATTATAATTAATTAAAATTATTAATATAAATAATAAATTCTAGTAACAAATAATTACTAATTAATTAAATGATGAGTCTGTTTTAAATTAAAGTGCCTATCTTCTATTTAATATTAATTATATTATATTATTCATTTGCACTATGTATAATAAAAAAAAGCATAACAGATATGATATGTAATAAGAAGGAACCAATAGAAAGAAAGCTAACTGCCCCAAAAGCAAGAGTGCAACTTAGTTAGTTAAGAAAGTGCAGTTAAGAAAGACTTAAGTCTTAATTAAATTAATGTTATGTAATAATGAATAATGCACACACGCACACACACATAGTATATATTTATTTCATATTAATATTAATTAATTAATTAATTAATAATAATAATAATTAATTTAATGTTATTTGATCATCATGAAGATGAAGATGAATGAATGAATGAATGCATGAGCATGACTAACCGGCTTCTAATTAATAGATAGCTGATTTAATTAATATTAATTTCAATATGAATGATTATTTCTTAATTAAAATTAATTTACAACAACTTTGATACAATTTTTTGAGTTTTATTCGCACAAAATCAACCCCTGCCTCTTTCAAATTAGCACATTGATGTTTAATTTTAGTGTTGAGAGTTAAATATAAACAAATTATTTATAGAATCTATGATAACGGCCGTCCATAATTATTGGCCGTTCTTGCTATTTGTAAAATTCATTTTTCGTAATTTTAAGTTATTGTTATTCTAAGTTAGAAACGTTAATCCGGCTCCTTTAAATTTAAATTTTCTTAACTGGAATCGTAAAAAACAATCTCCACCAGATTATCGAATCCCTATTTAATGGTTGATAGACAAGCTGCGTTTTTAGATTCAAATTTTCGTTTATTAACAGCGGAAAATTCAACCTAATCGTCAAGTCAACTGGAATTAGTTAGTAGTCAGAAGCAAATGTCGGCGGACCCAGCAAATGTTAATGGTTTTGATAGCAACCTGAACATCGGCGGACCCCTGTTCACCTGTTTATCATGCAACAAGGCAGTCACGGACATAGAAAAACATCTTATAGACGATCATGATATGAAAGACTATGACGTGGTGGATGATCCAGAGATAAGCAAGGAACTGAAAGATTTGATTCAGACCAGCAGCGTAGTGGTGGAAAACAATTCTGAAAATGATCAGAATGCTGTCCACCATGGAATGGTTGGATGCTCAACTACGTTCAATAATGAGATTCAGTTCATTACAGAAGTTGATTATGATTTGTTGGAAAATTCTGATGGCCTTCTATTCACTTGTCATTTCTGTCAAATGGGTTTTGATACCTTCGTAAATTTGAAAGACCATTCAATCGTTTCACATAATTATGTTGTGCATCGTAAAGATTGTAGCCACTGCAAAATTTTGTTTGACAGTCATAAAAAGTTTATAGAGCATATGAAAGAAAAACATCCAATTGTGAGGAAAAACAATAAAAGTTCTGTGCCTTGTTTAATTAATATAAAACCAAAGACGAATATTATGGCAAACTCCTCATCAGATGAAGACTCAGATCAATCTGATAATAAAAAAGCCAGATTGTTATTTTGCGAAGCATGTGGCAAGACATTCATTTCAAAATGCACTTTAAACAATCATCTAAGAACTGTCCATGAACGACAGATTGAAGAAGCTTCAGAATCCAAAAATACAATTGACTTGGAGTCGATTGATTCTAAACAAATATCTTTCTCCTGTGCTGATTGTAACATAAGTTTCTCACAGATGAGAGATCTAAAGCAGCACAAAAATGAATTCCACAGTAATCGATCTTATCTATGTTACGATTGTGATACAGTCTTCGAAAGTCGGGGTAACTTGAATCTTCATAACATTTATCATCATCGCATTCACAGGTGCTCGACGTGTTCTGTCGGATTTCCAGGCAGACTAGCCCTTACAAACCACGTTAAACAGCATCACCCTGGTATGCCCATATACAGGGCTGACAGGTTCACATTATCATTCAATAGTTGTTATTTTTAATAATTAATATTTTTAATGTGAGTGTTTGTCATGAAGTACATGAAGGGCTTTTTAAAAGGTGTCAAAACCATAATGTGTTTCTATTGCAATCCATTGTTGTTGCTTTTTCAAACATTTGTCTGAGGCTGAATATATAGAGAAGTTTTGTAGTGCTTTTCATTTTTAATATTAGTTCAGTGTATCATTTTAAAACTTTTTAAAGAATCACCTATTACAATCACAAATTTTTAAGATTCTCTACAATTTCAACTTAATAATTTTTAGTCGATTTGTGTGTGAGTACTGCAGTCATTCATTCTCCATCCGATCTCAACTGAGTGACCACATCCAGTCTGTCCACCTCGGACTTGTCAATCAATGTGAGGACTGTGGCAAAGTTCTCTCCACCTCTGAGACTCTCAAGGTTCATCTCTTTGGTCTTTAAAAAGATTCGTGGAAAATAAATATGTATTTATATTCGTTAGGCATTCTGCACTGTCTGTTACTCGATGTGATTGATATCTTTGAGTGTTTGTTTTTAAGATTTTCTAACATGGGATTTTGAATGATAACAACAATGAATGTTGTAATAGTGGTAAGTATAACGCAATTTTGATTACTGCATTGACATCTATCTTACATTTTCCAATCGGCTCACAGGTCCACCGACTTAAACACAAACCAGAGATGCATCGTACGTGTGAGCACTGTGGTCGGCAGTTCTACAGAACTGGTATGTTGACGGAGCACATAAGGGCCTGCCACCCTGAGGCTCTGCCCGACGACTGGCGACGCCACACGACGTGTCCTTACTGCCAATCACGCTTCACTAGACGCGAAAGTTTGAGGCGTCACATTGAAGCCAAACATGAGCCTAAGGTACTTTCGTGTTCGTTTTGCGACAGACAATTTACGTGTAGGAGATACCTGGTCAGACATGAGAACAAACATCACCTTGGCAGACCATCTTGTTGATCGCTCTTTGTTTATTTGTCATTTTATGCTTCTGTTTATTTATCTTTGTATGATTTTGTGGTCACCTGTTTGTTTGTTTGTACGTCCGTCCGTCCGTTCGCTTGTTTTCTTGTTTATGAGTTGATTTGTTGAGTTGTTTTTGCTCATTTTCGTGTTCACTTATTTTCCGGTTCATTTGTTTGAATGAACAGATGAGTGAATGTCATACAGACGTGTTTTGTTTATTTTGAAAGGTTATCATAATACAATTGTACAAATGGTAGCTGTATCTATTTTCTATTCATATGTGTGTAAATATGCTGAATATATTTGTTTTTATGCTTTTTGATTTAAATTGCCCACAATGTTAAAATGTTTGCACACCACCATCTACTCAGCACTAACAGCGGTATGTGAGCTCCCTGTCACATTGAGATAGCATTGATTTGTAAAAGTTCAATTGAATTCAACTCATGTATTAAATCAGTAAATTTTTACCTCTTTTCATTAATTTACTAATTTTTTGATTAATGTCTGTTTATTAAAACTACTAGTTTGGTTGTTTGTTTTAAGATGTTCACAACAAAAATTTTTGCAACACGTGCAACTTCTTCGTTGGTATACATTTTATAATTGCTTTTCGGCATACGTTTGTTAAATGTTTTTATTATTTTTCCATTAAATCATTTGTTTTTTCTTGCATGTCGATTTATTTCTTCCAAAATGATCGCATGTACGTCTACTGATGTTTGTATGAATATGTTTCTGCATTCGCTTATCTCATTGCATACACGCTACCGAATTTACACACTACGCGTATGTGAGTTTAAGTAAACCTATAAAGGTCTTATTCACCTGTTTTGGATAGTTCCATTTCTTGAGATTTAGTTTTTGAGGTTTGGTTTGCTTCATATCAGAAAGTGATTGCTAGATTGTGCTTAATGTATGAATGTATATTTTATATGGAAGCGTTTCTCCAAAGTTTAGCATCTGGTAGTCTGAAGTAAATGATCATGTGTTTTTTGTGATTGAGCAGCTCGTCTCGGGTTCATTATATTTTGTTTGTAGAACTATCCTAACCTATGTAACTAACAACAGCAGGTATGTCTCAGTCTGTACATTCAACATTGTAAAAATTAAATTAGTGTTTGTTACTTTGTGTACAAGTTTGGATGGATGTGTGTCTTCAATATTTTTCAACTTTCGAAAAAACTTTTCATATTTTTATTTTTTTCAATGAATTAACATATGATGTAAATAAACGCGGAATAACAACATCCTGTATCGCTCGGCCGCTTTCTGTTTGTGTGTGCGTGTGTGTGTTTGTGTGTGCGTGTGTGTTTTGGACAACCTTCGTCTTCACATAATATGCGTTGGGGATCTTTTTTTTCAAATTATTTTACAGATCAATTTTATTTTATGAATGTAATCGAATTCACTGATTATGTTATATAGCTTCCGCTAAAAATGTACCGACATTTTTCAATGAGAATTGTTCGCGAAGAGATACGTTCTCATCCAGTTTCAATTCATTACAGTCGACCATTGGTTCGCATTACAGTTTTATACCTCTCCATTTAATATTAAACACATCCCAATCTTTCTAATCCCTCCTATTCGAACCGTTTATCACCAATGCCCGCCATGCTGTGCTTCCTACCGGCAGATAAGAGTGGAGTTTTGAAATACCAAACCGCTGGTCACGTGTTGCATCGTATTGCCACACACGAAGCTAGACTGTGTCGCAGTCGGTCGGTCTCGGAGAATTACTTCGGAGTCGGGTTTTTTTCGGAGATGTTAAGAATTTGAAAATTTTTTTTTCCCTAAAAATATATATATATATATATATATATATATATATATATATATATATATATATGTTTAAGAATAAATATGTATAGAATTTATATGCAAGAACATTCGTTCATGCATATAATTTCTATACATATTTATTCTTGAACTTACGATTATGAACATACGATTACGATAAAATGACACTTACGATAATTTTTTAGATCATGTAAAAAATATCCTAAGCGTATTTTTGAAATGAAGGTCACGAAAACAGTCACTTGCTGACCAAGACGATATCCGTAACTTAAACGATATGAAACTCCTCCCATTCACTTTCCATTAGCAGTCCGTTGGTCGGCAGTTTAATTCGATGATGCTAAGTGTTAAGGATCAATGAACATTGGAACGTGGGATGAGAGCTAGCTAATTTTTCATTGCCATTCGGAAGAATGATCGCTAGTTGAAATTTCTTATTTTAAGTTTGGTTTGGACATTGGACACGAAGATTGAAATATTGAAATTAATGACATTCTTGTTTGAATTTAACGACAGAATTCATTATAACAAATGGCATAAATGTTTGCTATAAAAAATCATTAAATTTTAATTTTTCAACTAACTTATGAGATCGCGCAACTTGATAGATTATGCCTAATGTCAACAAATACTTAATTGTTCATTTAATAAACCTACTGTAATATTTCAACGAATTAAATGTTATTTAAAATTACTAAGTTCATTAAATTAACAATTATTTCCAAAAAAACCTGAACATTTTATTGTAAAAACCACTGATCAATAATACAAAAACAACAATTTTTTCACAGATGGCTGGTTGTACATGTATCATATTTTAGGTTAGTCACGTTAACCTAATAACGACTAACAGTTTCGGTAAAATTCTATTTGTGCAGTGATTCACATATCTATACTATTTATCACACTTGCGTGCGAAGGCCCAAAAACATTGTGTACTTACCTATCGAGTCAAGCATTTTCTATCTTAAGTATCCATGGTTTTGCGTCTGAGTTTAATTTTACAAACAAACCACAAAATTTCAAAACAAACAATGCCTAATAAATCCAAAGTAACATTTAGCAAGTCATCAAATTATGAAAGAAGGAGTCGTGAGTATAAATTTGAAAAAACTGTTTGAAGAAGATAAGGAAGTTTGTGGATGTGAAGAAGAAGTCAACTAATTATTTTTAATGTAGCCGAAACCAAGTTATCCAAGTTTGTCTTTTAATTTTGTCCGTCGTGTCACTTTGACCTAATCTGCAAAACGTTTTGCGCTGTATTTGTATAAATAAATAAAAAAAATAAACGTGTGAGTGTGTGTGTGTGTGAGTGCCAGCGTGTATGAGTGTGAGTGTGTTTGTTTACACATGCACATCATTAATACCATTTTGTTCTTCGTGTATCTAGTTCTGCTGTTGTAAGGGAATCTGTGTTGTGTTATATTGGGTTTAAAAGTTTTTAACTTCCTGTCATATATAATATATGCATGCATGTGTTTTATAGAAAAAAGAGAGAAGAGGCTTGAGACAGATAGAAAGAAGGAAGAAAGAGAGAGAATAAAGAATAGAGAGAATGTGAGAAAGAGAGAGAAAGAGCAAGAGAGAGAAAGAACGAGAAAAAGAGCGAACTACAGAGAAGTGAAAATTAAAAAAAATGTGAGCAAATATTAAATAAATGAATGAATGTATTTGCTAAAAAAACATCAAATCATTTATTGATCGTCACACAACCATTGCAACATCCTCTGTGTGGCCCAACTTTTAAAAAATATGGTTAAACTCGTCTGCTTTTTATTTGTCCCCCAAAAAGGTTTACATTTCTCCATCATAGAGTAGTATGGAAAGAAATGCTCCAATGTACACACCCACAATTCACATACCTATACAAACATACTCACATACACGTGTATGTACAAAAACATCTTGAACACACACAAAATGTATACAACATACATACACATACACACACACCACACACATACATATAAACATACGTCGTCATCTTTCTATGTATCTTGATAGAAATAATAATTGATCAATTGATAATGATTGATACATACATACATGCTTTCATGCATACATACATAAACATACATGCATGCATACATACAAACCAACCAACCAACCAACCAACCAACCAACCAACCAACCAACCAACCAACCAACCAACCAACCAACCAACCAACCAACCAACCAACCAACCAACTAACCAACCAACCAACCAACCAACCAACCAACCAACCAACTAACCAACCAACCAACCAACCAACCAACAAACATACATACATACATACATACATACATTCATACATGCAAACAATCATACAAGCATACATACATACCTACATTCATACAATCATACAACCATACATACATACATAGAATATAAATACACGATAAACATTATTCAGCTGTTTATTGAAACTATTTACCAGCCTAACGACTTAGCGTTAAAAAAATAATTATTACACCGGACTAGTAAACAAACAGGCAAGTAGCTATGAATGAATGGATGAATGATTGATTGAATGAGTGAATGAATGAATGAATTAATTAAGTATTGAATAAATGAATGAATGATTGAATGAATGAACGAATGGATGGATGACGGAAGTGAATGAATGAATGAATGGCCAAGGTAATGATAGATAAGATTTTTACAATTCAATTTCTGTTTAAAGAAAATTAATAAGTTTTAACGAATTGTGAAAAATAATTAAAAATTAGTTAATTGATTAAAATTTTAATTGAAATTTATTTATTAAAATTCATATTAAAAACGCCTAAGCTATAAAAAGTACAATAACAGAATAAAAACACTTTCAACAGTACATCCATCCATCCATTCACTCATCCATTCATCCACCCATCCATTCATCCATACATCCATTCATCCATCTATCCATTCATTTATCAATTTCTACATCCATCCATTAATTCATCCATTTATCCATTCATTCAAACATCCATCCATTCATTCATCCATTCATACATCCATCCATCGATTCATTCATTCATCCATTTATTAATTTAATCATTTGTTCGTTCATTCATTTACCAATTCATCATCAATCCGCTCATTCAATTATTTGATATTCACGCAGTAAAAATAGTTTAATAATAAAGATAATAATAAATAATAATAATAAATAATAATTATAACAATAATAATAACAATAAATAATAATAATAATAAAATAATGATAATAATAAAGAATAATAATAATAATAAAGAATTTAATATGACCACCTGTCCGTTTGACGTACTAAAGAAATTCGATTGCGTATTGAACGTGGGTCTATCGACCCACGTTCAATAAGTTTATGGATGACTGGGTGAATGAATGAATGAATGAATGAATGAAGGAACGAACGAACGAATGAATGAATGAATAAACAACTGAGTAAATAAATGAATTGAAGAATGAATGAACGACAAATAAATAAAGAAAATGGAAAAGAGGATAGGAAGATAAACTCATGAGAATTTTGATGGGGTTTACTAAGGAACTCGACGTTCCAGATAAGTCACGAGTTAAGAACACGCTTGATTTCAAACCAGGTTATACTGTATAAGCAGACAGAGACATAATGCATTAGGACAGAGAGACACATAGAGACACAAAGACACACGCACAAAAACAAAATAAAAATAGACTCATTCATTTTTATACACGTAAATTTTAAATCGATTCAACAACTTGTTAAAATACAATTTATTTTCTTTAAACAAGATAATGATAATTGCAATTACTCTAATTACTCAATCATAATTATATACACAACACAACACACACGCAGATACACACAAACAAACACACAAACTAAAGAAGTTATGACACACACACACAAATATATATGTATATATATATATATACAATGCAGTAGCGTTGTGAAATGGGAGATTAATAAAACTGTAACACATTGCAATGACTAACTTTGTCGCTTTTTTATTATTTTTAATTTAAAACTTTTTAAGTAAGTAATAAATAAAATAAATTATTAAATAAATATTGGCAAAAAAATAAGTGGATGAATGAATTAAAATTTAAAGTTTTTCATTTGGTAAATTATATTGTCATGAATAGATTTTAAATCGGAATAAATTCATATATATAATATATAATACTCTATAGGTATAATAAATAAATACAAATATATATATATATATATATATATGTATATATATATATATATATATTTATATTTATAATTTTAATTTAATATGAATAGAAGATTCTAGTTTTCTAGCCCACCACAACTACGATGATATGATGAGATTTTTTAAGCAAACATTCGTCATATCATCTTTAAAACAGCTCATACACATGTACACGGATTGTATAGATATATGTAGTGAAGCTTTTTTCCATCTACAAGTTGGTTAAGAGAACTCTTTTTGTTACCCGCCACCAATCAGTAGGTATATGTTAAATATTTATTAAATTTTAACGTGTGTGTGTGTGTGTGTGTGTGTGTGTGTGTGTGTATGAATGAGTGCGTGCATGTGTGTGTGAGTTAGAGTATATGTGTATTATTTAATAAAACACTTTTTATAAGAAGTATTTAATTATAAATAAACATAATAAAACAGCAGCTAATTACCGACCAACCAACCAGCCAACCAACCAACTGAATAATTAATCAGTCAATCAGCTAATTAACCATTGGAAGAAGCAATCTGCTAACTGACCAACGGACCAACCAGCCGTCTAGCCAACCAACCAGCCATCTAGCCAACCAACCAGCCAACCAACCAACCAACCAACCAATCAATCAAGTTAGCAACCGCGTTAGTACAAAACCCCACCACAACGATTATCTACCAACAAAGACAATGAAAGCATCGTCGTCGTCATCATCATCATCATCGTCGTCATCATCATCTTTCGTCGTCGTCATCGTCATCAGCACATTGTTTATTTACACAACAGAAGTTCTGGCAATTAATAAGAATCGTCACATTAATAATTATTACCGTCCCACAGGTAATCGTCATCGTCATCATCACCATCGTCATCATCATCATCATCACCATCATCATCATCGTCGTTGTCATCATCAGCATCACCATCATCATCGTCGTCGTCATCACCATTATCAAAATCATCGTCACCCTTTCATCATTTATTATGATTAAAAATGATGATTAAGTTGATTTTGATGTGTTGATTATGTCATTTTGTTACGGATCTCTCTTCAATATCTTTGAGAGGCATCAAGAAACAAACACACAGTGCATGTGTAGATACACGTAAGACAGTACATTGCATACATTGCACGTAACAGGCATAGAATCTCTCTGCTACCGAATCTGGTCAATGCAACAGCAGTGCCAGGCACTTTACCGCTACACCATCACGCCACCCATTTTTCTTAGGAATGTGACGATTATTATAAACGTGATGGGGATGATATTGAGCTGAGGAAGATGATGATGGCGATGATAAGTACTGATAATGATGAGAACGACGATGATGAAAATGATGATGTTATGATTGTGAGGAACATGTAAACGAAGATTAAAATGGTAATCGTGATGATGACATTTGGGATGATGATGATAATATGATATTATAAAATATGATAAAATATGATGACAACGACGACGAAACATAGTATTGATTATAGTGTGGTGAATGTAGAAGTTTGTTCATCACCATGTTCACCCACCACCATTGTTGCACGAACACTGAACATGATGTTTGCAAAGTTGATGATGATGATGATGAAGAAGGTGATTACATGAATCATGATGGTGATGTTATCATCCCACAGATGTTGATGAATATTGAACTATATATCATGTACTATGTATCATATATCATTTTATTAAATATAAATACTTAACCGTCGGTGTAATGAATTATAGAAATGATGAGGATGTTTTATGTATGTGATGATATACGTATGTGATGATATATGTATGTGATGATATATGTATGTGATGATATATGTATGACGGGATGATATACGTATGTGATGATGAAATTGCAAAGTTTAAATGATGACGACGATGATCATAAAAACGTGTAACATCATCATTATCACCAACAATTATGATGATATTATTAATAAATAATAATAATAATAATAATAATAAATAATAATAATAATAATGCAAAGGTTATGATAACGATGACATTGAGGAAGTGAATAACGAAGAACAACACGTCTATTCACACCCACATTTCAACAACAACAACAACAACAACAACAACAATAACAACAACGACAACAACAACGACAATAGAATCTATTATGATGTCATTGACGTTATCAAGAAAGTAGTGGACTCTACCAGACGCTCAAAAGGTAGCTCTGCCTTCAATTGCTAAGTTAATTCTTTCAATTACATGATAAAATGGAAACATCTTCTTGTTGGAAGTCACTCCAAATAAACAAACTATGACGGAAAAAAGACAGGCAGACCATTTTCAAACCACATTACAGAGTCGGAATGTAGCAAGACCGAAAGAGAGTTGTTTGACTGGTTGAATAAGACGAACGATGAGCACATCAAGCTGTCTGCCATCGGTGCATTGACCAGTTTCAACCTGGAGACCAACATCACCGAGGAGAACACTGAATTGGTTTGATTTTTTTGCAATTTTTATAAAAAATTATATAAATAATAAAAAAAAATTTCAAAGAATGTCAATTGTCATTAACCCTTAGAGCAAAATATCAACGAGCAACATTGAAATTTGGGCCCAACGTATCGCAAAGGAAGCCAAAGATCTTCTGAATAAATACAACGAGACCTTCAAAAGTTGCAAAAAGTTGTGGGCATACCGGAGGGTGCTCGATAGGTACATCGTACAGAACTCCCTGACGTCCAGCAACCAGACCATCAACAAGTTAGCGACGGATCGGTTGATGCGTTTCAATTCAAATTTCTATAAAAACTTTTCATTTATTATTTATTGTCAAGTCATACAATAACGTTCGACAAATTTAAAAATTTTCTGAGAAATTAATCACCATGCAGAATTGGAACCTCTGTATTTTTGAAATTTAAACTGGATTTTATAATGAATACAAATTTATGAAACTAGTCAAACTTGTTCATCAATCCGCGCTTGGATGGCGTCATCACATGCACGCTGCATCCCAACGCAGGCGACTCACGGACATATCACTGTCAATGTCGGAGAAATATTCCACAACAACGCTGATCAATCCGATCAACAACAAATCATGCCTACTCGATCCTGACCTGGAGACTGTTCTCAGCCAGTCACGTGATTACAATGAGTTGTTGTGGGCGTGGCTTGGCTGGCACAACAACGCTGGTCGTGCGGTGAGGGAGGAGTTCAGTGAGATGGTCCAGCTGCTCAACAAGTGTGCCCAAGAAAATGGTGGGACTTTGTACAATTTGTCGATTGCAGATGAGATAGACAAATTATAAGATTAAAACTATGGGATAAGTTGATAATTTTCAGCACAAATAATTAAAATTATTGCAGTTATTTTGAAAACTTTTCACGAAAATGAAGGTTATAAGGATGCGGGCGAAGTATGGAAAGTGGCCGACTACGACGATCCTTCCATTGAATCGAGCATGGACGCGCTGATGACGCAAATGATGCCACTCTACCGCAAGATACATGCCTTCGTCAGAAAGAGGTTGTACGACTTCTACGTCAGAACCAACAACTCCAACGGGAAGTTCACCGCTGGTATCCAAGGGGACATTACCAAATTTGAACCGGATGGATACATTCCAGCCCACGTACTAGGTAAATATCTATAATAATGGCTTTGCTGCGGTTTCAAACTATGTAAAATTTATTTATGGCATTTAAAAAATGTCTTTTTAAATTGCTTTCAACATGGAAAAAATGAAATCAACAACAAAACAACATCAACAAAACGTTAGGTAACATGTTTTCTCAACAGTGGAGTAATATTTTCGACCTCGTCCTTCCATTTCCCGGTGCTCCTCCCCCTATCAACGTCACTTCCGTCATGAAGAAGAAAAACTTCACCGTTCATAAGATGTTCAAAGTTGCAGAGGAGTTCTTCACTTCAATGGGCTTCCAACCGATGACTGCCATTTTCTGGAAGGAGTCTGTGGTGCAGAGGCCAGCCGACCCGAACGTCAAGATGGTCTGCCATGCCTCCGCCTTCGATATGGTCCGCAAGGATGATTATCGGTAGGTGTTGTTGGTGGGGGTTGGATTGAAATATCCTAAAACTTGAGAAAGAAACACAATAAATTAATTATTAACCCAAAATAATGTCTGCCTCTAAATAGAAAAAAATGTTTACAGCATAAAGATGTGCACGAAAGTAGAGGTGGCTGACTTGCTGACCATCCACCACGAGATGGGCCACGTGGAATACTACATGGAGTACAGACACCTACCCATCATATTCGCCAAGTTAGTGAAGATGAAGAGAATGATGAAGATGAGGATAGGATGAGGATGACGTAATGATGATGTGTGTAGCAAAATGTGAAACGTCGATTATGCAATGGATAATTTGTAGCGATAAGCCTATCCCATTTAAAATACTTTTTGTTCGGTTATATATTTAAAAAGGATAATCATTTTTTAATAACATGTACATTTTATTTTTTTTATGAAATAATGGACTCAAAAATTTGTGTCGCAGTGGCGGGAATGCAGCCTTCCACGAAGCTGTTGGCGACACGATCGGTCTGTCGATGATGACCACCAAACACTTGAGAAGCGTCGGTCTCTACATCGACGACGCTGCAAAGTTGAAGCAGCAATTACAAAAATATGAAACTAACACCCAAGAAGACGAAGATGAAGTTAATTTTGTTGAAGGTGAAGATGATGGTTATGAGAGTACGTACCCCAATCTGCCTGATGGTGAAGAAGGTGATCTTGCTGAAGATGTGCGATATAGTTAGTTAATCATACATACATTTCTCCACTTGATAATAGATTTAAAAGTTTTTTGTTGATTTTAGATTTCAAACATTTTTCATTGATCTTTGATTTTAAACGTTCTTAAACATCAGTCCCAACAAATATAGCTATTGATACAAGCGCAATTGAGCGCAAGATAAAAGTATTCTTTCTGTCTTCATATTTACTTTGTCATCAACGACATCAGACCAGCAATCGACACAAACGATTCAACCTAACTCCATATCAACATCTAGGCGTTCTTTTTATTATTTTTTTTTCATCACTATCTCACCCATCAGCAGCGACAGATATTAATGATCTGATGAGGATGGCCCTGGAGAAGATAGTTTTTCTACCGTACGCCTACACACTTGAAAAATGGAGATTCAGAGTTTTTAGAGGGGAGGTCACACCTGGCCAGTACAATGATGATTGGTGGAAGTTGAGGTTAGTTATTTTTTTTTATTAATTTATTTATTGACTTATATATTTATTAATTTACTAGTTGTTAATATTAAACTTTAAAACATTTTCTAATTAAAATTAAGAAATATGTTTTGTTTAGATTTTGTAAGTCAAAATGCTACGTTATAATTTTTTTCTTGTCTGTTACAAAAAAGTTCCATTCCTCAATTTCAATTTTAAATAGTTTAACATAAAATAATCTATTTTTCTAAAAAGAAATGTTTTATAGTAATATTTTTTTTGAATTATTCCTCTTGCGAAGATATGAAATGTGATGCTAAATCTCGGTTTCTTATCACAACTTACCTACCCTTGATTTTTTTTTAAATTTTTAATTTATTTTAAATTTTCACAAATTAGTAATTTCGAATAATTTCTCAATGCAATAAAACAAAATTAATGCAAAAAAATTCATTGATAATATTATGAAAAAAAAGATGTGCATTTAATGAATTGAGACGGAATCTTTCAGACGAAAATACCAGGGCGTTGATGCACCGCTAGTTAGGGGGGCCACAGATTTCGACCCTGGTGCCAAGTACCACGTGGCTGCCAACATTCCCTATAACCGGTAAGTCCACTGTTGTATGGTTAATCTAATTTAAAAATTTTTTTTTGTCAAATTGAATTTATTTTAATAGAAACAAGAATAATTATATTTAAAAAAATGATTACTCTTGTCGTTGTAGTATGGATTAAAATGGTGACAATAAATAAAACAATCGCATCACAAACGACATTATCGTATACACGGTCAGCAATCACTTTCACAAATACTTATCATCATTCACGTATCCATCTTCATCCATCCTCTCACTCCCACTCCCGATCCCAGGTACTTTTTCAGTTTCATCGGGCAGTTCCAGTTTTACGAATCCTTGTGTAGGGAGGCCAGGGAACTTGGTCCTTTGCACAAATGTGACTTCTATAGATCCAGAAGGGCAGGACGTAAGCTAAGGTGGCTATATAAGTATACCCCTTACAATTCAATCTATTTTTTATCTTTTTATACATTCAAAAATTGTTTTTTCAAAATATTAGCGAGTTGTAGTCTTGCTAGCAGTAAAAAAATTAAAAAAAGTATTTAAAAAAAATTGCAGACGCATGCTGAAAAAAGGAAACAGTGTGCCATGGAGAGCGTTGATGCGCGAGTTGACGGGACAGTCTGACTTCAAGACCTCATCCATCCTCAAATATTTCAAGCCTCTCAGTGATTGGCTGGATGAAAATATCAAGGACGTTCCTATTGGCTGGCCGTCTGATGATGAATAATCGTGTGGAAACATAATGGCAGTTAGTGACAACAATGACATGAAAAGGTTAATTAGGATTAAAATGAAGTGGAAGAAGAAAAAGAAGAAAAAAGAGAAGATGATTAAAAACATAATTAAAATTTTGGTGATGCTAACACAATATTAAAACGGTAAAAAAACAGTTCTTTTGATGGTGATGATGAATGATGAGATGATGAAACAGATTGGATGATGATGAAGAAGATGATGATAAAGATGTTGTTTGGGTTGTTGATGTGAGTGACAGAAAAAACACCAAATCCCAATAAGAACCATCCGGAGTTTAGCATTCAAAAAAGTTATACTTACTTGATCCGTTACATGTCCGTTGCATAGAAAAATCAAAAACTATCTATATATTCAAAAATTTTTGCTAATATTTCAGTTTAAAATAATATATATACACAGGTATATTTTTATATTCTATTCAATCAAATAAATCACATTGGTCATGATTCTTATGTTACGGTGATGTTGATGTTTAATCATGTTGGAAATGGAATTGTAAAACTTATTTCATATAAATAATTTTGCATGCCAGGAAATCATCTGAAATTATCCGGGAAAAATATCCCAAATTATCCTGGCCAATAGTAGTGCAGTGATTCAAGCGCTATATCATTTCGCTTACATTTTAGGATAAATTTTAAAAATACGTAATGCGTGAAAACCTTATATTCACCGCAAATTCCTCGAAGTTATGTTTTTAAAAGACTTTGCAAATATAAATAAACAAGTTTGTGTGCGTGTGTGCGCGTGTGTTTGTTTGTGTGCGTTTGCATGTGTGTGCGTGCTTATCTCTACAATTAAAACTTATATATATTAATGTCACAATTATACGGTGATTTGGCATTCAATTGATATTTTAAATTAGATTTCAGATTTTAAAAAAATATTAATAATCCTAATAAATAAATTTTAAATCAATAAGTGTTGATAAATTCATTATTTACTTATTAATAATAATAAATTTTTCATTTAAATAATTTCTAGGTTGTTGGATTATCAAATTTCCAGTAGATTATTATTATTTGCGTCCGTGTTCGTATTTGTGATATCTCGCCTTCCTACTTCGTTTCAATTGTATCCGCAGGCCCGTAGATCAAGTTATAATGTTACATTGAGGTTTATTTCGTCAAGAAAGTTGAAAAATAATAAATTCAAAAAAAGGTAGGTGGAAAGGTTATTAAAGGCGTTTTGTTTTGACTCGATCGTGAGATATAACAGTGGAGGTATTATGTGAACTATATGAACAAGGTTCTCGTTGAATTCATGAATCGGATGTAAATTTTTGATATTGAGTCAAACAAATTTGCAAACAGATTTAACGTATTTGTTTGTTTGTGTCCATTTGTTAGTTTTCACTGATTACTCTTCGATTTTGCAATTTTTAATTCTATTCACCAACCAAAAAATTTATTAGGAAACTCAAATTCGAACAAATACAGTATTACAATTTAGCAGATTAAAGGTTCTTTTACCCAGGTTAAATTATGGAAGCTGATAGCAGCTACATTGGAAAAATATTAAGTTATCGTAATATTTTAAACAACAAAATATTTATTTTAAAATAACTATTTTACCACAAATTGTAATACCTTAAATACTACCCGCCATAATTTTTCTAATTTTTTCACAAGCTACTCATCACCAGACGGCCAGCCAATAGGAACGTCCTTGATATTTTCATCCAGCCAATCACTGAGAGGCTTGAAATATTTGAGGATGGATGAGGTCTTGAAGTCAGACTGTCCCGTCAACTCGCGCATCAACGCTCTCCATGGAACACTGTTTCCTTTTTTCAGCATGCGTCTGCGATTTGGGAACGTTAATAAGCCTTTAAGTCGGTTACGGTAGAGAAAATTGGCATTAATATTTATCACAAAAGCAGCAGGAATTAGTAATTTTCACATTATTTAAAAAATTTAAAAACATTTCATTTATTATTCATTATCCATTTAGTATGAAATGAACAAAAAACCCACCCGAGTTTTCGGCCGGCCTTCTTGGATCTGTAGAAGTCACAATTGTACAAGGGACCACGCTCTCCAGCCTCTCGGCATAGGGATTCGTAGAACTGGAACTGTCCGATGTAACTGAAAAAGTATCTGCAATTATGACGTAGGTGTCAGTGTGGTAGAACTAGCCTACTGCTGGGAAGTGTGAGAACGTTGGAAACTTAAACTTGCTAATCGTACAATTGTAAAAACGGCGTCGAAACATTTTTGAGCGGCAGGGACATTCAAACTGTTCTTCCTATTGTTCGTCACCATCACAGAGTGCAGTTGAAAATCATACATGTTTTTATTCTGTAGATCAAACAACTAACAAACGCAGCGGAAAATGTAAAATTGTGATTAGAGTGTATAAAAAAGTTCAAATTGGTTTGCATCAACGTTGAAACCTGCTGTAGGGCACATTGGCTGGCACGTGATGCTTGGCACCGGGATCAAAATCCGTGAACTTCCTGACTACTGGCGCGTTCAGTCCTTGATATTTTCGTCTGAAAATTTCAAGTTTTTATTCTTACTGATTAAACTTATCGAAAGCAACAAATCAGTTAACTGGGTATCGATAAACCGACCAACGATTGACAGCACAAATTAATTAACTCCACCTACTAACATCAATCTCCACCAATCATCGTTGTACTGATCTGGGGTGATGTCACCTCTGAATGCCCTGAACCTCCACTTATCGATAATGTAGCCGTACGGTATGAAGGCTAACTTTTCCAAGGCTCTCTCCATCAACTTGTTGATGCTTCTTTCTTTGGAGGGGGAATGTACAGGCATGTTTCAAATGAAACACTAACAAAAGAATCTTTGAAACTATTAAACAGAAGCGTAAAATATTTTGCAGCAATATAAATTAAGATAAGACAACATTATCAAAAATTCGTGAGTTTATAAATATCTCAAAATTAGACGTACGATATTGTACGTTTTTGTCCTTATCATCTGAGCTAAAATCTTTTCCGTTTTCATCATCATTGTCATCATGTCCTACTTGTTGAACATCGTCATTTCCGGTGATGACATCATCATTTTGAGTGACGCCATCTTCATCGTCATCACTACTCAGTCCTACACTCTTCAAATGTTTGGAAGTGGTGGTTGAGAGACCGATCGTGTCGCCAACCGCCTCATGAAATGCTGAATTTGCCCCACTGTGATTAAAAATTCATATTTCTATTAAAAAAATTTAAAAATACAAACAGATTTTTATTTATTTTTTATTTATGTATTCATTATAGTAACTCAAGCGACAAACTTTGTGAATATTCTGGGCAGGTGTTGGTACTCCATGAAGTAGACGACGTGTCCCATTTCATGGTGCACGGTGTGGAAGTCATCTTCAACGACCTGCGCACACATTTTGATGCTGCCAAGTGGCGTGAGCGTCGAGCCAGCATTCAGAGCAGTTTTCAGAAAAAACATTAATGACATTGTAGATTCATTTGAATTTAGTAAACTTTGATATAGTGATATCTTATCAACCCATAACAACACCTACCGATAATCATCCTTGCGGACCATATCGAAGGCGGAGGCATGGCAGACCATCTTGACGTTCGGGTCGGCTGGCCTCTGCACCACAGACTCCTTCCAGAAAATGGCAGTCATCGGTTGGAAGCCCATTGAAGTGAAGAACTCCTCTGCAACTTTGAACATCTTATGAACGGTGAAGTTTTTCTTCTTCATGACGGAAGTGAGGTCAGTGGGAGGAGCACCGGGAAATGGAAGGACGAGGTCAAGGATGTTAGTCCAGTGTTGGCAAAATATGTTTCCTGTTTTATGTTTTTGTTTTTTATTTAGTTTTCATAAAATCATTTAAGAATTAAAACAAATTTTATAATTTGATTAAAATCTTAAAGCTTTTAAAAATTTAAAAATATATATGTGTATATAAAAACTATTGACCTAGTATATGAGCTGGAATGTATCCATCAGGCTCAAATTTATTAATTTCTTCCGCAACTTCACCAAACTTGGTAGTAGAACTGGAGCTGTTTTTTTTTATGTAGAAATCGTACAACTTCTTCCTTACGAATGCATGCAACTTTCTGTAGAGCGGCATTATTTCGGCCATCAGAGCATCCATGCTCGACTCGATGCCAGCGTCATCGTAGTCGCCCAACTTCCAGACAACGCTCGCGTCCTTATAACCTTGGTAGGATTGCCAGCGAAGAATTCATTTTTTAGTTATAATTACAACAACAATTTTTAATGAAAAAACATTAATATATTTTCTTTTGATAAGTTTTTTGCCACGCTCTCACGGTTTAGTACGGTGAAAAAAAAGTTAAAAGGGTATGAAGTTTCAGAAAAAAATCTTAAGGAAGATGTGTGGGACCGAAATGTTGATGCTTGAAAAAAATCTTAATAAAACAATTTTTAAAAAAAATTTTAGTAATTAATCTGCTGTAGTGAAAGAATGCAAAAATATTTTTCAAGTTTGTGTGAATCTGTGGAAAATATGATGTACAAAGCGCAGATGCAAATTAGGTTTGATCTGTTTCAGGGTGTTCCGAAGATTTGAATGAAGCCCGTTCCGAACACTAAAGAGTAAGATTTAAAAAGAAGAGGAAAAATAAAATGAGTGAATTCGCTTTCTGTAGAGCGGACAAGCAGTTTCTATTTTAAACAGATTGTTCTTCGGAATTTAGAATGACGACGATGATTGGTTTAAATTTTCAACTAATTTAATTATTGTCTTACTATTTGTAAATCGAGCATATGTTATTTTTGGTAAATTATTTTTGAATGTTAAAAAATACGTCATGACCATTTTCTTGGGCACACTTGTTGAGCAGCTGGACCATCTCACTGAACTCCTCCTTCACCGCACGACCAGCATTGTTGTGCCAGCCAAGCCACGCCCACAACAACTCATTGTAATCACGTGATTGGCTCATGACGTCAACGATGCCAGGCTCAAGGGCATACGATTGGTTGTTGATCGGATTGATGATCGTGGCCGTAGCGTCCTTCTCGGACATTGACACGAGAACATCTTTCAGACGCCTGAAGATTTTAACTGACTATAATAATCGTCAAATTAATATTAATAGTCATCTTCCTTTATACAAACATCAGTCAAAAATTCAAACTTCATGACTGTTTCATATTCGAAAAAAAATTTGCGAATAAATGTAATTTAAGTATACTTATAAAGTCAAATGAATTTATAAATATCTAAATACTTTAACCAAGCATTAACTTTGGTCAACAAGTTCAACGCCCCAGCTTACGTATTGAGATTAGCGTCAGTGGAGGTGAGGGCAGAATCAATGGAGTACCTCTGAAGCACTCTTGCATAAATTCTCAAATTTTCACAACTTTTAAAGGTCTGGTTGAACTTTTCAGCCAGTTGTTTTGCTTCCGATCCAATCCTTCGAGACCAAACTTTGAAAATGTTAGAAGATGCCTTGTACTGTTTTATGGCAGCAGTTTTATTTATTTCTCATTCACCAGTTTGTCATTCATCGTCATAACATTTAGATGTTCTTAATGCAAATATTATAAATAACTCAACATGCTTTTGAATTTCATGTTAACAAAAATTTTGTTCCTTAGAATATAACACATCACAAACCTATCAATCAATATACTTACCGTGAAATATTTAAAAATCAATTAAATCACACGTAAGTGTTAACACATTGCGTTTACGTTCACTTTATTCGCATAATTCTACAGTTGTACAAGTTTTAAACACATATTCTACTTATGATTGAAGACAGATTTGAAAATTATTTTGGAGAGGACTTAACAAGAGAAAATTATAGTTGAATTGAATTTCGAACTATTCATCATAACAAATTTACTGGTGACACTAAATAATTTAACAAAAGAAGAGAATATTCACAATATCAATTAGCCATATCGATTGGAAATCGATTTAAAATTTCATTTCTATTGAAAACATTCAATATTATATTGGTATTTATATTTATTATAGATAAATTTGGTATTTATTATAAATGTATTTAATGTCATAATTATTATTATTATGAATAAATTCTTACCAGCTCTATAGTTTCATCTGTGAAGTTGATCTGCATATTGTAGTTGTTCAACTCGTTCTCAGTCGTGAAATTTTTATGTTCTTCATTCGTCCTCTTCAACCACTCCGCCAGCTGTCTTTCCACTTTCATACATTCCAGCTCTGTGTTTGATTGAAAGGTTGTCTCAATTATTATTCATTACAATGTCTACTGGAACGATTTGTTGAAGGAATCAAATGAATGAGTATGAGAATTTCAGGAAATGTATCTAGACTAGACCAAGACACGGCGACCAGGCCCGGCAACGTTGGCAACCGCCTATGGCGACACTCAACAAGTTGCAAAAATTTTTAAATTTTGTATTATTTTTTGAGACAAATTTCAGATTAAAAATTTTTTCTTCTGTGACATGATCAGCTAAACATTTTTTAAAGTCTAATGGTTATTTTTTGCATCATTATGTTCTGGTGTTGCAGACAAATATGAACGTTCAAAATCTCTCGTCTTGACGAGTTGAATCATTCAAATGGGGCAAATGGGTATAGCTAGTTTATTAATATTTTAAAAATTTCATACTTTTAATCGTTTAAAACTATCAATAAAACAATAAAACAAAATGACTACGATGAAGATAACGGTGGTCGTCGACGTTTTTGTAGTAGTGGCTGGTTGTCGCTGTCGCCAGTGTTTCAATGTTGGTAGTTAACATTCCAGCGATGATGAATGAGAATAGTGATAATAAAAATGATGACGATGACGATGATAACAGTTTCATTGTCGGCGATGTTGGAGTAGTTCTTCAATTGGTTGCAAAAAAAATTTTCTCATGACTTGCCAGTTGGTTACTAACTAAATCGATAAGACTTAATATACATCGTTAATAATTAATATTAAAAAACATAATCAACCAAGCAATTAGTTTAAATGAATTTAAATAATTAACTAGAAAATAAAACTTTTAGTTGCTCAATCAGTAACTGAAAATCTAAGTCTATACTTTATTTAAACTTTAAGTTGACAAACCAAGATGATATTTATAGAAACAAAAAAGAACAAATAAGTTAGTACTTATGAAATAAGATATTTTTTGTGATATGCGATGATGTTATGTATGTGATGTGATGTGATAATGCAATGTAATATGATGAGCTATGATAAAATGATGATCAGATGTTGTGTGATGAACATACGGTAGAAAACTACAACAACATGTCACCATGCTGGCAGGCTGGTGTTCTTCATTCAATTTTAAATTATCGTGAACGTATTAATAATTTTTATAAGTGTATATATATATATATATATATATATATATATATATATATATCTGTGTGTGTGTGTGTGTGTGTTTATACACACGCACGCACGCACGCACGCACACACACACACACACACACGAACACACACACATATATACCTATATATGCGAGTTATATGAATTCTACCTATTTGTTGGCCTATCTGTATCATGAATTTGGATAATAAGTTTCATTAAATTTTCATGATGAAGTTGGATAATAATTCTATTTTTAAAAAGTTGAAAAATTTTCAGAAAATTCTAGTAAAAAAAATTTGAAAAGACAAACTTTAAATTGATTAATGCCAACAATTCGGTAGAATTCATACAATACTTAACAAAATACGGTCTCATTAGTCCTTTCAACATATTAATATGTTTATATAATATGTACATATTTTGAGTGTTTCATGTATATGCACGTAAATATAGATAATTCAACAGTGTGGTTTGTTTCATTGATTGCTTCAAAGTAAAATACCTTAAAAATACACTTTTTTGATAAAAATAACAAAATTAAATATGTTTTGAAAATTTAATAATATCCAATTTTGTTTTTTTTGTAAAATGAACTTCACGGAAACAATAGTATATTATTATTATTGTTATTAATGTTATTATTATTGTTGTGACAACATCAGTGACGTCACCCAATCATAACAACCAGTGCGGGCAGCTTCCAGATGGTATGACGTAGGCTTGGGTGGTTGATAAACGGTGATAACTATTTTTATTTTTTTATTGTGTTTTTATTTTTTTTTATTTTTACTTCTTGTGAAATGTTCGTCTTGCGAATTTAAAGAAAGCACAGATGAGTTTTTATAAACTGCGCTAGATAAATACAAATTGGATGATTAATTGATCGACTGATTGATTTATTGATTAATGAATTGATTGATTGATTGTTCGATCGATTGATTGATTATAATTGTTTGATTGATCGATTGATTGATCGATCCATTGATTGATTGATCGATTGATAATTTAATTGTTTGATTGATTTATTGAACATAACGACTCAATAGCTAACGTCTCAAGATTCTGGCAGGTCAAGTGGTTACTATTACTATACTATTCAATTATTATCTCGTGTAATTCAATTTCAATGATTTTCTCATATTGTTAACAAGTGATTGTCTAACAACAATATAATTGTATACATATTTATTCACATCATTAATCATTTTATTAATTTTGTACAAAAATACTAACACTGTAGAATATTTACATGATTGTTAGTTATTTAGCAGTTAGATCAGCAATAACAAAAAAATAAACAAACGAACGAACGAACGAACGAACAATAACAATAATCCCAACCAACCAACTAACTAAAAATCAATCGTTGATTAAGATATAAAAATATTCCTAAAACACACAAAAACACACACACAACACACGCACGCACGCACACGCGCACATAATTTGTGTAATAAGGCTTATACTGGATAACAATAGGGATGATGATGAATAGGGATGATGATGACGACGACGACGACGATGATGATGCAATAATGACGATGATACAATGATGATGATATATTCGCATTTCTGACAGTCACATAATCCATATATATATATATATATATATATATATATATATATATATATACTATAAATATAACACCGAAATATATTTTTATTTATGCCATGTACTTTTATACATTTGCAAATAATATAATATTATTATTATGCTTGCAATTATCGTTATATATATATATATATATTTAAATATTATTATTTTTATTGATTATTTTTATTCATTTATTTATTTATTCACTCATTCTATAATCTTTTTTCTTTTCATCTCCTCTATATCACCTTGAAAGAAAGAATAATGGTGAGGTTAGGTGATGATTTTATCATTTTGTCATTACCATCATCGCCATCATCATCATCATTGCCATCATCATCACCATCATCATCATCATCATCATTGCCACCACCATCATCATCATCACCATTACCATCATCATCATCATCATCATCATCACTGTTTATTCATCACCGTCATCTCCATCATCACCATCATAGCCACCATCATCGTCGTCATCATAACCACCTTGGTTGTATTTGAGTAGTTGTCTCAGTACTTCATCGGTGTGTTCTCCAAGGAGGGGGGGAGGGTTTTGGAGGGCCAGTCTGACGTCATCGTACTGGACGGGAGGAGCTGATTGGATGGTTGAACGAACCAATAGATGGATAGATATTATCCAATAGGTAGATGAATGGATGGATGAGTGGTTAGATGAGTGGTGGATGGATGAATTGATAGACAGACGGATTAATGATAAATGAATAAAAGAAGGAACAGTAATAATAATAATAATAATTGCACCAACCAGCAACTTTGATCGTTCCAACAGAAGAGTGATCCATAGCTTGAATCATGTGATTGTGACAAACCTTTGTGAATGACGAAAGAGTTCATTAGTATCCTCATCATCTTCATCATCATATCATCGTCACTACCCTCCATATCATCATCATCACATCTTCACAACACCATCCACATCATTATCAGCATCGCCATCACCATCATCATCTACATCATCACCATCATCATCATCACCATCACTACCTGAGGATCTTGGAAGGCTTCTTTGATGCTATTTATAGGACCGTATGGAAATTCTGCCTGCGTTTTTTTGAAATACTCCACCCAGAACTGTCTTGTTTGTGAGGCGAATCTTTTTGAAAAAAAAAAAACAAAAAATAATTTCGAAATTTTTAAAATGTTAATTAGTATTAATAAAAACACAAAAAATAATGTATGATACTAAAAATTTGAAATACTTATTTCAGAAATCATCATGATTAACCTCTATCTTTTAATCGATTCATCGAATCAAATTTTGTACAACTAATCAGTCGGTAATATTTCAATTTAAAAAAAAAGACACAAGTGACGAGGTGGCCTGGTTCGAATCTCCCTGACTTCTTCATACGTCTGTGCAGTGTTGTGTCTGACCGTTTGCGTACAATAACGTAACATGGGCTGGCGTGAATTTATTGTAGTGCAGAAAGTTAAAAAAACTTCTCATTTTAGAGAAGAAGTTGAAGTGGGCAGCCATGTTTTTTTGGGGACAAATTAAAAAAAAAATAAAAAAAGAAAAAAAAGAATGATAAAAGCGAGAAACTTCTTAGTGAATATATCATTCAGTTCCTTCCTGTTTGCCACACGTTTGGCATTGCTAGAAAATTTGTCGTCTTTCGGCAAATGGCTGAGGTTCAAAATCTGATTGTGTGGTAGAGCGGTTTATAATGTGTTGAGTGATGAATTGAATTGTAAAAAAAATAGGAAAAACTTTTTCATTAATTCGTTTATAATTTTTCTAAATTTAATAATTAGTTATTGTGGTTAGAGAGAAGTGCGTGATAGATGCACTAAGCGCTGAAACGACTGAAGTAAGAGAAGTTACCTCACATAATTCTTCGAATTGGTCATTGTTGCCTGCGCCTATTATGAAGTAGCCATTGTCTTTTGTTTTGAAGGACTGGTTGAAATGAAATATTATTAATAAACTAAAACACGCATCAACAAGACCACAGCACTTTTATCTCTCATCATCCTATTTATAGTCCTTATTATATGATAGTATACGATTATCATTATAAGAATTTAAGACAAACCGATCACCCAGCAAACCTGATATGGAACAATACTCGGATGACCCGACCCCATCCTCTTGGCATCCTGACCACAGTTCAACCAGTTGGAAGCTATGTGCGTCAGTGAAGCTACCTTCAGGCCAAAAGTTCAAAACGTTAAAAATCTAAATCAAGTCCAATAAAAAAAATTAATCCTATTACATTGTCGAAGGTAGCAATAAATATTTACATGATTGTGCTTAAAAATATAAATTTCTCTCTTTTCCCTACATCACATTTTTTGTCTTTGCCCTCTCCCTTTATTTCTCTTTCGTTTGTTTCTTTTTGTTTTCCAACTCTTCCTTTTGATCACCCAAAAACCTATCACCTATCGATCGGCAGAAGCAACCATGCTGCAAACACACACTCATAAGCAAACACACATACAGTCATAGACAAAAACACAAAAACACACACACACATAAACAAACAAGTACATTCACACATTCACAAACAAACACTTCTTCACATTCACAACAAATGCAAACAAACAAATGAAAGAACCGCATGAAGTTCAGCGAGCCAGACAGAAAAATTGGACGATTGAAAATTTAATTGAGCGAACAATTGCCTCCTGAAATCTTTTCATCTGGGCGTTTGATCAATCAAACAAACAAACAAACATCGGTACGAAAATACAAACATTTTTTTACAAACAAACATTTGTATCCAAATAGAAACATTTGTATTCACACACAAACATTTGTATTCACATATAAACATTTGTATCCACATACAGACATTTTTATCAACATACAAATATTTGTATTCACATACAAACATACACATCATAATAAAAAATTTGAATATTTATTAAAGAAAAGTTAAAAAGTTATCAAATAATCGAAAAACAGGTGAGCAAGGAAGATTCAAAATAAAATTCTCCCATGAATCAAACCAGCTCAACACCGAAAATAATTATACATCTTCATGCAATTATAAAACATTCAACCAGCCAAAGCCGACAAACTAAAGGTACATACACAAACATACAACCATATACAGACACAGGCAGACATACAAACAAACACACACCATTATCAACACATTCGTTAATTAACGCAACACATTAACATTCCCATTTTTGCATTTCAATCAGAAGTATCACTAATGATGATACAGATATCATGCATGATATAAAGCGTGGATAAGGGTTGGCTATCCACAAGTTTATCTTTTTTAGTTATCCTTTAAATAAATAAATATATAGGAAATAAATATATCGGATCGACTTTGTGCCTATAATGAACAAGAATCTTGGACAAGAACTTTTTTGCGTTTGAACCCGGTGATTGCAACACAACACCTGGCGTCCTTAACCACTACACCACGCGACAGCTCATAGATACATATACTAGATTACATTTTCATCAAATAAAAATTAATATAAATGTTTGTATTTTTCCGTATAAAAAATAATACAAGTAAAATACAATTTGTGTAGCCTTAAATGAGCAAAGACCTGTGTATTGAGAAGGCTGCAGTGTATGTGTATGCCGGTGTTTCGTTCGTTTCTATATAAGAGGGAGGCCAGGATGGATGATACTGCATACTGACCTGGTTGTGATGATGATGATAAAGATTGTGTGGTGCTGATGATGATTGTGTGGTGATGATGATGGTAGTGTGGTGATGATGATGGTGATAATGGTGGAAATGTGGTAATGATGTTGGTTTGGTGTGGTGGTGATGATGACGATGATAGTGTGGTGATGATGATGTGATGATGAGGATGATGCTAGAGATTTAAATGTCTGATAATGATGACGACGACAATGATGATGATCGCGATGATGATGATGACGATGATGATAACGATGACGATTATGATGAAATAAAAGACTGACCAGTATGCAGGTCAGTTAGAGCAACTCCCGTCCTACACGGATCGCCATCCTGATAGTGATGTTGGGGTATAATAATAATAATATAAAAATAATAATAATAACAATAATTTTCATAATAATTATTTTCACAAGAAAGTCGATCAAAAATTTTTCTTTATATTTCAATTATTGTAGTTCGTAGCTACTGATATACTAATGTGTATATCATCTGAAATATTGTTGAATATCATCATCGTTTATCATATATCATTTTCACAACCAATCTTCATCACCATTACCATCATCATTATCATTGTTACTCTTTTCATCACTATCATTGTTACTATCTTTATCAGTATCATTGTTACTATCTTCATCAGTATCATATCATGAGCCTATAATACATTATTTCTCAGTGAATCGCTCGTTTTGAATCTATTTTTTGGATATAAACAACATTTTTGGAGCGCTCTGGCTTCTGCATTTCATAAGTTAAAACGAGGCTGTTGTTGCTGTTGTTGTTGTTGCTGTTGTTGTTGTTGATGATGGTGATGATGACTATGATAAAGCTGAAAATGATGATGAGGATGAAATTAAGGATTACGATATCATTATCATCATCAGTAATAACAACGTCATCATTATCATTATTTTCATCTGCACTGAAAACCTCAACATTATCATCATCATAAGTATCATCCCCATCGATATCACTATCATCATCGTGGTCAACGTCATCACCTCGGGTCCAGTTATGTACATGAGGCCTCCGAGGGCAGTGGCAATGAGGTCGTACCCCCCTCTGTGCTTGTAGGGACCCGATGGTCCAAACCCTTATCAAAATAAATAAATGAAATGATGAAAGGATTGGGTAAAGTGAATGGTGTATAGAGAGAGAGAGAGAGAGAGAGAGAGAGAGAGAGAGAGAGAGAGAGAGAGAGAGAGAGAGTACATCTGTATTTGTATATGAATGATTGTGCTTCTGTATATAGTCACGCCTTTGCATGTGTTTGTTTCTACGAGTGTAAATTGTGTGTCCGCTTGTATGTGCTTGAATGTATGTATGTGCGCGTGTGTACGTGCGTTTATATGTTTGCATGTGTGTGTGTGTGTGTGTTTTTGTTTTTTTGCGTTGAAATTTATACGAGAAGATAATTTGATGAAAATATTATGAAAATATTTCGTTTCAGGAAGCCATAAATAAGTAGTACTCATCGCTCGTGGGAAACTTTGAGGAATAATTAAGAAGTTTAATTTGTGAGAAGAAGATGAAAAAGAAAACAACTAGAATGAAGCTGTTAATGAAGAAGATGATGGTGATGATGAAGATGATGAGGATGATAAAGATGAGGATGATGATGATGATGAGGATGATGAAGGTAATGAGGATCAAACTGATAATAACGGCCATGGTGATAATGAAATTTGTAATAATGATAGTTTGGAGACAATGATGACGATGGTGAGTAGAGTTCAGTAACAATTAACCGGTGATGGAGCAGTAGATTATCTTCGAGTTGACCTTCTTCAAGTCTTCATAGCCGAGCTGGTACTCATCAAGTTTGTTCGGTACGTAGTTCTCTATGAATACGTCACTCATACTCGCTAGCTGGTGATGATGATGGTGAAGATGAGGGTGATGGAAGTGAGGATGATGAAGATGATGGTGATGGAAGTGATGATGATGAAAATGATGGTGATGAAAATGAAGGTGATGAAAAGGAAGATGATGAAGATGATGATGATGGTGATAGATATGAGGATGATGAAGATGATGGTGATGGAAGTAAGGATGGTAAAGATGATGGTGATGGAAGTGAGGATGATGAAGATGATGACGGAAGTAAAGTGATGATGGTGAAGATGATGGTGATAGAAGTGAGGATAATGAAAATGATGATGAAAGTGAGAATGGTGAAGATGATGATGGCGACGATAATTGACGGTGTGGTTAATAAATGAAGATAACTCAATGATGAAACACAAATAATTATAATATTTTATTACGACAAAATGATGTCACGATTGAGTTATGACGTCATAATGACGTAAAAAAAAGTTCAGAGACCTGCCTAATTATTTGGCTTCCTTCTTTCGTTTTCATGTCAACACAAACGCTCTGTTAATGATTTTGTTGTTGTTGATGTTGTTGATGGTAGTGGTGATATTGTTGTTGAAGTTGTTGTTGCTGTTGTTGATGATATTAATGCGTCATTCAATTTGCTCATATTAGAGTTAACGTTATTGAAATTGTTGTTGTTGTCATTGATGTTGTAAATAAAAATAATTTTGATATTGGGCTACATTCACTGCAACTTATATTAACACTGTTACTACTACTACTACTACTACTACTACTACTACTACTACTACTACTACTACTACTACTACTACTACTACTACTACTACCACGACTACTACTACTGCCACTACTACTATCACTACTACTACTGCCACTACTACTACAACTACAACAACAACAACAACTACTACTACTACTACTTTTATTCATTCTACAGCAAACAACACAGGACTTAGGACGTTGGCATCGCATCATAGAGATTACCTCACTTAGTTTTGATTAACTTTAAACTGCCTTCCATAAGTTTAGAATGCTGCCATGTAGCTCATAAGCATGCACTTGACATACATACAAAACGCGTATACAAATGTGTATACACACACTTTGTACATACACACACGCACACAACACAAACAGTCATACACACGTGGTTAACGCGTTGAAGCATCATACACATGCATATCTTTTAGAAACATTGTTGCAACACGTATGTATATACGATCAAAGCCAAAAACGTCAACAGCTTTCGAACCAAGTCTTTACGCCTTTTAGAGGAAAGCTTATTACAAGTCGGACTAAATTGGAGTTAAGTCAGTTAGTTATTAGCGGTCTGATCATCATCGTTAACGTCATCTTTATCCTAATTGTCATCATCTTCCCCACCGTCATCATAAATTAAAATTTTTAATTTATTCAGATGATTTGCAAACAAATTTAAAAAATGCTCTCCCATAAAAAGTACAATTTGAGGTTTACCTTTTTGTTCCTGTTCACGGATAGGAAATAGGCACTTTCCTTGCCCACCCACGGAGGACCCCAGGATCTCGTGTCGTCACCCGTCTCTGTCAGTCAGTCAAGATGATGATGGTGATGACGATGATGATTTTGATAATGATGTTGACGTGATGATAGTGATGGCGGTGATGATGATAATAATGATGATGATGTTGATGATGATGTTGATGATGATGTTGACGTGATGATAGTAATGATGATGATGTTGATGATGATGTTGACGTGATGATAGTAATGATGATGATGTTGATGATGATAGTAATGATAATGATGATGTTGATGATGATGTTGATAATGATGATGATAATGTTGATAATGATGACGGTGGTGACGATGTTGATAACGATGTTGACGATAAGAGAGTCGAACATTAACAGAATGAAAATATGCTCTGTTGTGGTTGATGTAGAAGCAGGTTGAATATAGAAACAACATAGAAATAATTCGCGCGCTTCTATTACAGTGACATTCAACTAATTACTTTTGCTTTCAAGCGTTAACAAATTTCACCACAGAGAAATTTTCGAATGAACATTCTTCGAATGTTCTCTGCGTCTGTACATGCTAACAATCTAAATGAACCAGCGAGATGGTGATGATGAAAAACTTGATAACAACAGCAAGATGACGATGATAAAAACGATGGTGATGATGATGTTGAAAAGAGGACGACGACGACGACGATGATGATGATGACGACAATGATCATGATGATGATGATGAAAATGATCATGATGGTGGTGAGGATGAAAAAGATGACGACCTTTTAAGAGCATATCTTCCCTTCAACACCCATCAACAAACATCGCATCAAAACAAGCGAAAAATTCTCCCGAGAAAAACAAAAAAAAAAAATTCGTTAAGAATGACGTCAGAGTAAGGAACATAAAAAGAAAAACATTGAATTAGACGTTGAAGTTGCAAAGAACATTAGCCGGAACCAATCAAAATAGAGAAATAATTGATTGCGGCATGACGTAATAAACAACAACAACAACATTGTCATCATCACCTCCATCATCATCATCACCTCCATCATCATCATCATCATCATCATCATTACCATCATTATCACCATTATCATTATAATCATCATCATCATCAAACCTGGTTTCTCAATCTTTATAATCTCAGCTCCGAGATCTCCTAGAATCATCGTGCAGTATGGACCAGCAAGCACTCTGTGTGGTATGATGATGAAGATGGAGATGAAGGCGATGATGAAGACTACCACACCACACACACATCACACACACACACACACACACACACACACACACACACACATGTACTAAATGATTTTTTTTATTTTTTTTATTCAACGCTTCAGGTCAGGTCAGAAAAACTTTTAAAGAAATAATAAACCATATTTTTATTCAAAATTTGTTTATTTAAATTTATTTTTTAACTTTTAAACACAGAAATCATTCTTAAACGTTTAACTGCATGCCCAAGCAATGAGCAAATTTGTTTAACTTCACAAAAATCATAAAAAAAAATAAATATTGGGTAATTATTGATAATTGTTGGGTTAAATCAAATTCAAATAAATTTGAAAAAGTTTATTTAAAATAATAAAAAAAACAAATCAAATAAAAGATTTCTCAAAATGAAAATGAAAAATCCGGGAAAGAATTTGTAAGCCCAAGAGAATTCCACGTTAGCATTGCGTGTACTATCTTATAGAGTTGGATTAGTCGGACGGAAGAGCATGCATGCCGACATCTTGCGATAGCTCGTGTAGCTTAAACGATTTTGCTTGTTTTTTTTTTCATGTTATATAAGCTTATGTGAACTTGATTGTGGTTGTTGTGAAAATCGACCTTTGTTTTTAACAGCGCAAATAAAACTGAGAGAATGAGATGAAATGAGATGAAATGAGATGAGAAGGATGACAACAGGGGAGGGAGAAGGAGGCTGATGGTGGTGGATTAAAAAATAATGGAAATATGGAGGTTGAATGACCACCATGATAATGACGATGTTGATCACGATGATGATGATGCTAATCACGATGATGATGACGAAGATAATAATGATGTGATGGTAATGACGTGAGGATGATGATGATGATGTGATGATGGCGATGATGATGAAATTTGTTTAGTTTTGTCTGATCAGAATTACACATACATGCAAACACACACATACACATACATACATGCAAACACACACATACAAATACATGCAAACACACATATACATACATACATGCAAACGCACACATACACATACATGCAAACACACACATACACATACATACATGCAAACACACACATGTACATACATACATGCAAACAGAATTATCGAATTACAATCTCAATTATTTCAACCTATACTTAAATGTGATGTAACATAAGTAATGTGTTTGTACAAGAATGTGTATGCATGTATTCAAGAGTGTGTGTGTGTGTGTGTATATATATACATGTGTATATGAATGTGTATGTATTTTTGTATTCATGAGTGTGTGTGTGTATGTGTATATATATATGTGTATATGAATGTGTGCATGTACGCATGTGTGTGTATGTACGTTTAACAAGATGGAAAGAATTAATTCACTGTATTTAGATATGCAAGCATGTGAGTGTTAATTTGCTGGTTTGCTGGAATATTTTGTCTAGTTTTGGTCTCGTGTGATGTTTGTTTGAACATGTTTGTATGTCTGATAGGTATGTATGTAAATGTGTGTATATCTATGTATGTATATGTGTGTTTTTGCATGTATGTGTGTATATGTGTGTGTTTGCATGTATGTATGTGTATGTGTGTGTTTGCATGTATGTGTATGTGTGTGTTTGCACGTATGTATGTATATGTGTGTGTTTGCACGTATGTATGTATGTGTGTGTTTGCATGTATGTATGTATATGTGTGTGTTTGCATGTATGTGTATGTGTGCGTGTATGTGTGAACGTTTTTGTGATTGAGTATTTGCGTGTTTGAAAATGTCCCTTTCACGTTCGTTTAATGATGGGAATTTAATTCTTTTTGTGTTTGTTGGATGTCTGTTGTTTGTTCATCTGTTCGCTTGTTTTTCAGTGAACATCGCTTGCCTGTTGGTGGTTCGTTAAATTTAATTGAAATTTTTTTAAAACTCTCGATGGCTCCTTATTATCTTTTCATCATCCATGATATTATAATTTTTAAAATTGCAATTTAATTAATGATGATAATGATGACGAAATAGATGCTGATAATGATGTTGAAAATTACGATGATGATGATGACGATGGATAAAGTAATGATGATGATGATGATGATGATGATGATGATGATGATGATGATGATGATGATGATGATGATGATGATGAAAACGTTTCGATCAATCTAGCAGAGAATGAACGAAGAAAACCAGCCACACACTTCCATCCAAAAAAATCCATAAAAAAAATTGCGTGCTCGCTGATTGTGTACAATTTTGTACACGCCGTTTTCATACAAATGAGTATCGTATCATAATGCATCAAGGTGAGTATCGTAATGCAGCAAAATGAGTATCGTAATGCATCGAAATGAGTATTACATTGATTATTACGATTTTCATTAGATCGACGTTGATATTTCACGCTTGAGTGCCTGCCTGTACAAAGTGGCACTAAGCAAATAAACGTGCAAATCAAGCGTACATACACTGTACAATACGTCATTCGTTCGTTCGTTCGTTCGTTCATTCATTCATTCATTCATTCATTCAGTATTAATGAATTTTAGCATATTTGTTCATTTTTCATAGCAATATTGAAATAATATGGTAGATACACACATACATACAGACACACACAAACAAACAAACATAAATACATACAAATTTATACACACATTACAGTTATGCACAATCCTTATTGAGTATGCAAATAAAAACTATTCTTAAAAGAAAAGAAAGACAGAATGGCCTAAAAATGCTGGATCATTTAAACTTGGCACCTACTTAAAATATTCTAACCTGATGCATAGTGCATATGTACAAAAAAACAAATTGTAAGTACAACACACATATACACAACTCAGAACTCACACACACACACACACTAGCTACACATACACACACACATACACACACACGCCACACACACACATACACACATAAACAAGCAAACATATGCATCATGATCAGCACACGGATAGCATGTGATAGGCAGGGATGTGTTTGCATATGAACCAGGTCACTGCAACAACAACATTAACATAACCACAACAACATTAACATCAGACATGCACCAACCTGGTGACGTCGAGAACTCTGACTCCTTTCAGGGGTGCGAATTCTACTGAGGGTTTCTCCGTTGAGTAGTCTGTTTGTTCAATGTCAAGGTTAATTTATATCCATTTGTCAATTTTATAAAATGAGTCGTTACGCCAAAAAAAAGGCAGACAGTGCAATTTATGAATGCCTTTTTCTGAATCTCAGGTTAGTGCAGCTTACTGAATGGTTACTATGAGTAGCCACAGCAGCCACACCAACTTCAAAATGATTGACACCAACTTCAAAATGATTTACACCCACTTCAAAATGATTTACACCCACTTCAAAATGATTTACACCAACAAAAATAGTAACAACTACAGTAGCCAGCAGCAGCAAGAAACAACAATACCAACAGTAACAGAACAACAAAACAATTACCACATCAACTCCTAAAAAACCTTGAATCAACCAACAACCACAACGACCAACCACCTCAACCACAGACCTTTTTGCGCCATAGAATTAGCATTGCCATCATTACGACCACCTCCAACCACACCAGCCACGCCGGCCACAGCCGATCTATTGTTCCTTTGTAAATATTTTTTTAAAATATTTTTCACTAGTTTACTCGCCATCTTGTCGCTGTTGACGTGCTGGTAATGTTGTTGTACTTGCTGATGATGATGTTGTTGATGATGTGGATATTGTTGTTGTTGATGATGTAGATATTGTTGTTGTTGTTACAGGTTACTAATTTTTATCAGAAAGACGCAGATGTTTAGGTTGTTAATTTTCGGTTAAAACTCTGTTTTTTGACAGTGTGTGTAACGTTAATGTTTCTGTTAACGTTTTGTGTGGGGTTAACAATGTTCTTGCTGTTGTTGATATCGTCAGTGCTGTTGTGTTGGTGTTGTTTTAATTGTTGTCGTTGTCTATAAGGTTGTTGCTGCCTCTGATGTTGTTGCTTACTGTCTTGTTGTTGATGTTATTGATGTTTTGCTTAATGAAGCAGCTGTTTTTAACGGTGTCACTATGGTCTTTATTAACGAGGCTGTTATTATTGTTATTTATATTTTATGGAAGTTATATTCATAAAAAGATGGGTGGCAATAATCAGACAGAAATAATGAAGAGAAAAATATGCAAGTGTGAGTTTGCGTGGACAGCGAAAAATCTTCACGATGCTGTTGTTGTTTATTATTATTACTCTTTAAAAAGTTAGAATCGGGCAGACGCAGTAACTGTTACAACATGCAAGTTATTGTTGTTGTCATCGTCGTTAATGATGTTGTGACGGGGATCAATGTTTTCTATTTCTACTTTTTGAAGTTTGGATGAGTTTTGTTGAGATAAAAAAATGTTTTTGTCTTTTTTATATGTGTGCATGTTGTTACTGGCATGTATACATTTAGTTTTGAAGTGTTGTTGAATTTAATAATGTTTATTCGTAACTTACTATTCATGATTCATTTAGTGTAGTGTTGTTGTTTGTGTAATTTTTGCAATGTTTCTATGCTGTAGGAGAGATGGTTTTTCATTTTTTAAATTTTGATTATGTGAATTTTG